ACACCAGAAACCATCACTGTCACTCCCTGAGGAGTGAGCAAAACTTAGAGGAAGATGGCTGAGGTGTTGCTCATCTGTAATCCCATCATTTGGGAAGAAGGGGGGGGGCGGAGATTATGGGTGCAAGGTCAGCCTGAATCAGAGTGAGACCTGTCTCAAAATCTAAAGGTAAAAGCTGGACAGTGTAGCGCATGCCTTTAATCCCAGCACTTGGGAAGCAGAGGTAGGTGAGTTCGAGACCAGCCTGGTCTACAAAGCAAGTTCCAGGACAGCCAGGGCTGTTACACAGAGGAAACCCTGTCTCAGAAAACAAAACAAACAAACAAATCTAAAGCAAGCCAGCCATATGTGATAGCAAACACCTGCTGTAATTGGACCTAGTACTTGGGAAGTAGAGGCAGGAGGATCAGGAGTTCAAGGCCAGCCTTGGGTAGCAAGTTTGAGACCAGCCTAGGTTTTTATTGAGAAAAAATAAAAATTAGGGCTATGGAAGGAAAGCTCTATCCCCCAGGAGAGCGGCATTGAAACTCGGAGCCCGCATGGGCAAGGAGACCCAGCCCTCATCCTCATATGAGCACTGTGGCCTTCCAGGACAGACATGATGTACTCTCTGAAAATGAGGAAGCCAGCCTCAGAGAGAGTAAGGCAGGCGGCAGAGCTGGACAGTTCTCTCCTCAGGCCATCTGACCAGACCCTGAGGCCCAAAGGAACAAATCTGGGGACAGAGGGAGGGCAACCATGCCTGGTGGAGGATGGGACAACCTCCCCCTCCTCTAGAAGTTTACCCTTCCTTCCAGTCCTGGCCAGAGGTCCCTGAAGGTAAAGTTCCAGCATGCATTAGGGAAATAAAGGATAATGGGTACTAATTACTACTCATTAATGCAATTAATTAAGCTGGTATATGCAACGCATGGTGTCAGTTATCAGAACAAATCAGTTAATACAGGCAATTAAAGGGGTTGGTTATTTAAATAATGAATGCTGCCGATGAATGGGCCTGATTTAGCTCAGTTGTCACTATTGCTTGGTAATTGATTTCACCGCTAATATTAAGAGGAAAGTGTCTTTGAAGTATATAATGTAAGAAATAATGAATTAATTCACGAAGCTGAGTTTTCACGAACACTTTGATTCCTGGATTGGATCGTTACAGTGAGAGGGAGCGGGTCTAGAAAGTCTCCTAGCAAACTGACAGCTACAGGCCAAGGAAGAACCAGCCTGGCCCCTGGCTGGAAGCAGACAGGATGGGCCTGGCAGAGGGAATGTTGTTTGTGCAAAGACCGAGAGGTTTCAGACCCTGGGGTTCTTTGGAAATAGTTTATGGCGGCTCGAAAGCAAGAAAGGGCAAGGAAAGAGAGGAAGCATGTCCAGAGGAGGCACGGAGCTCAGCGGTACAGGGCTTGCTTCTCACACACGAGGCATTGGGTGCTGGGACTGGCAAGATGGTTCCGGGCACTAAAGCATTTCCTTCGTGGGTCTGAGGACCTGAGTCCAAACCTCTAGAACCCACGAGACAGCCAGACGCATAAGCATGAGAATCTGCGGTCTGTGTTCTTAATGGGAAGGTGGGAGATGGGGACAGGAGAATCCTTGGAGACTTGCTGCCAGCTAGCATGGCAAATGCAGCAGGAAGCCAACAGAGACCCCATCTCAAGGTGGAAGGCGGAGATTGGCACCCCAGGTTATCCTCTGATCCCCACATCAGTGCCGTGGTATGCATAGGCCTGTGTACACACACACACACACACACACACACACACACACACCCCAGGTGCTTGTCAGTTTCTCAGCATGGTTCTGAGCCAATGTCTGGAGGGGAAAGTATAGGAACAGAAAGAACCTTGCCAGGCGGTGGTGGCGCACGCCTGTAATCCCAGCACTCTGGAGGCAGAGGCAGGTGGATCTCTGAGTTTGAGGCCAGCCTGGTCTACATAAAGAGTTCTGGGACAGCCGGGGCTGTTCCACAGAGAAACCCTGTCTCGAAATTGGAAAAGAAAGAAAGAAAGAAAGAAAGAAAGAAAGAAAGAAAGAAAGAAAGAAAGGAAAGAAAGAAAGAAAGAAAGAGAGAGCAACCCTGAGGAGTCGCTGCGGATTGGGTACTCGCAATCAGGCGTTGGCTGGAGCAGTGGGCAGAGTGAGTGTGCCTGGGTCTGGCAGGAAGGAGCCCATCCCCAGCAACCTGTTAGGAACCTTGACTTCCAGGCTGATGGGGCTGGGCCCCTGCTGCCAGAGGGTGGGGCAAGGGAAGCTGTGCTTCAGTTTTTAACAGGGCCACCAGGAGTTGGCCTGTGTTACAGTCATGTCGGGTACTGGGGTGATGGGGTGCTGTGGCTGTCAAGGGAGGTTAAGGGATCATAGCTCCTTGACCTAGGGCTCTGCCTTGGGTAACCCCCCTGGCTCTGGCCACCTACGCAAGCTGATCCCTAGGGCAGCACCCCATCCTTGAGGCTGTATTCCTGCCCTGGAACCGAGAGGAAGTGGACAGGAAGCAGGAGGAAGACCGGGCTGATCCCAGTGTGTCCCTGACAATTTGTTCCCAGCGGGAGGATTTCCGGACCTGAATGGCCGGAAACGTTGGGATGGGACACCTCACCCGGGAAGAGTGGACAGAGCAGACAGGGGAGGGGCTCCCTCCTGGCAGTGTCATTGACTGGGGAGCATTCAAAAGGCTTTGGAAACCTGTGCTGTTGCAGGCTGCAGCTTAAGAGACAGGTTAAAGCCAGGAAGGACATTCTAGGAGGAGAAGTCTAAAGGACTTCAGAATGTTAGAACGGGGCCCTTGCTCTCAGGAGCTGGTGGGGGTCATTCTTTTCTTCTTTTTTTTCCTTTCAGCTCATCTTTTCTTTGGAGTGTTAAGGTCTTGTGTTTAAGCATACATTTCTTTCCCATTTTGCAGATGGGAAACTCGAGGCCATTGTCTGGGAGCAAGTGTTCAGCCTAAGAGAATGGCTGAGCGCCATGGCCGCTGGCCGGGGCTGCTTACTGTACATGTGTGCCACTGAGCTGTGACCTCGCTGGGGACTGGGGTTCACTGGTGAATGACAGTCACCCCCTCATAGGGTCTCTGTTGATTTTCACTTGAGAGACAAATTCAAAATGGTTGCTGCAGGTGGAGGTTGGTGAAATTAGGGGAGTGGAGGCAGATGGGAGGTGGAGGGTGAGGAGGATGGGCTGTATGTGGGGTGTCCCCCGGGAGGCTTCTCTGAGGAGGTGAGTGAGGAGGATGGGCTGTATGTGGGGTGTCCCCCGGGAGGCTTCTCTGAGGAGGTGACTTTAAACTGAGCCCTAAAGAAAGAGGAGGAGAGAAAAGCCTTGTGAAAATCTGGGAAAAGGGAGGTCCAGGCAGTTTCTCCCAAGTAAGTACCAAGGCCCTGAGGTGGGAAGGAGCTGGCAAGGCCAATGCATTGGGGCCGAATGAGGGGCAGGATGGCTGAGGAGTGTTGGTGCAGTAGGCAGTCCAGCACCACCAGCACACACAGCCACAGAGGTGGGGCCTGCAGGACCACTCATGTCTTTTTGCTAGCGTAATAACAGCCCCCTTTATTCTCAAGGAGACAGAGTTTTTGGATGATAAATTGCACTGCTGTAGAGAGAGAATACGTTTATTCTTTAGCAGATAGGGCTGAGGACGCGGCTCAGCTGTAGTGTGCTTGCCTAGAGCGTGCAGGGCCAGGCCTCTCCTCCCCAGCACTGGAGAAGAGGGAAGGGATTTTAGACAGGTCTGCAGTTGTCACCTATAATCTTGGCTACTCCAGTGTCTGAGGCGGTTTTGAGTCTAGGAATTCAGACCAGACTAAGCGGCTGGGTGAGGCTTGGTGATTGAGGGGAACTCCTGGAGAGTGGGGTCACTTGCTTTGGCTACTTAATCGCTGTCTGGTATCAGAACTGAAACTGATAGTTCGGGCAAGTGGACATGGGGAAACAGCAAGAGTCAGGGGTGGCCTGGCTTCGGGGGAGACTTGGTCATACTCTGTTCTAAGGGAGGATTTCCTGCTTGGTGGGGTGTGGCCTGTGGCGTGGATCAAGGGCTGCTGAATGGGCCATAGCCTGCTGGTGGGCCAAGGGTAGGAAGTGGACCCGAGCCTTTGGCTGTCACAGCAGGAAGAAGGGAGCTGGGACCCCAAGAAGGGAAGGCAGTGGAGGACAAGCAGCTGCTTGTGGGCGGCAAATTGGAGATGCCTCAGACATGGAGAGGACTGAAGGGAACAGGAGGGCCCCGGTGAGGAATGGGCCTGCGTTAGAGGAAGGTTTACATTCTTTAGACCACGCTGGGCTGAGTGTGGTGGTGAGTCTCTGTAACCCCAGAATTCAGGTGGAGGCAGGAGGAGCAAGTTCAAAGCCTGTCACACGTACCTAGCACATTTGAGTTCAGTCTGGGCTACATGAGACCCCATCTCAGTCAAATCCAAAATAAAAAAGCATACATGCATGTGCGTACATGTGCACACACATGCACACACAAACACACACACGAAGCTGTGGCTGGGGGAAGTGACTCACATAGGGGAAGATTGTTTGTTCAATATCCTGGAAAAATAGCCGCCAAGAATAGGTGTGTATGGGCTATAACCAGCGGTGGCTAGGTTTGTACAGGGACAAGCTAATACGCTGGCAACGTAAAACAAGGAGTGAAGGGCTAGGAGAGGGGTTGAGCCTCAGCCTAGGCCCTCCAGCGCTTAGAGTCAGGGGTAGGGATCAGGTTGGGGAAGCAGGGAGAAGCAGCAGACATCAGGAAAGTAGAAAGTGAGCTGGATGCTCACCCTGAGTCCTCCAGACGACTCCCTTAGGCAGTGGCTGTCTTTGTTCCTGATCTATAGAGAAGAAACCCAGGATCAGAGAGGTGAAAGAACCTCTGCAGGGTGGAGCAGCCACGGATCCTCCTACCCTATATAAGCATTCTGGGCTCCCAAAACAGGGTCAGGCCCCAGGCCAACAGGCAGGCAGACACTTAAGAGATCTGAGAAATACTGAAAATATTCACTTCTTTTCCCTTCTTCCAGGGCTGCTGGAGAACTGGAGGCCGCTGGCGACTATGTGAAGGTAGGAGGGGCAGGCTGGGGTTGGCTGTTAGGAACCTGACTTCCTCCTGGGAGGAGAAGGTTGGGGGGTGGGCAGCCCTCAGGGACAGGGGATCATTCTGGGCAGCTATTTCCCATGCTTCCTGTCACTCTGCTGGCCTCAGACCCACGTCCCAAGGATGTCCCCATGCAGTGGCCCCCACAGTGAGATCCCATCCAGTCTTGGGGCATCTACTGAGCACTGGTGCTGGAAGGGGGAAGAGGAGAAGTAGCTCAGCTTTTCAGCATAGACTGGGCACAATTCACAGACGTCAAGAGCCTAGTTCTGGAGCTGGGGCTATGGCTCAGTTGGTAGAGTGCTTGCCTAGTCTACGGAGGCCTTGGGGGTCAATCCCCAGCACCACAAACAATGAGTGGTCTTGTGTGCCTGTAACCCCAGCACTCAAGGGGCAGAAGGATAAATTCGAGGTCATCCTCTGCTACAAAGTGAGTTTGAGGCCAGCCTAGGTGAAAGAAACAAGCAAAAAGCCATACGGTGGTAGCGCATGCCTTTAATCCCAGCACTCCGGAGCAAGAGGTAGAGACAGGTCGATCTCTGTGAGTTAAAAGGAAACAAGCAAAAAGCCTAACACTAATCGTAAATACTGGCAGTATTTATAATGCAGTTTGTGTGTATATGAGTACACGCTTGTATCGCTGTGTGTGTGTAGTTGCTCCTGTCCACTGTGGGTGTCGCTGTGACCTGGGGTTTCATTGACAGGCCCATAGCCCCCCCAGGATCTTCCTGTGTTCACTCTTGTGCCGAGATTACAAACTTGTGCCGAGATTACAAACTAGAGCCATTGCACCTGTTTTTGTTGTTGTTTGTTTGGTTCGGTTTTTAATTACGGCTGTTGGATGTTGGACGCATGTCCTCATGCTTGTGTGCCCGACACTTCACAGAGTGAGCCCGTCACACAGTGCAGGGTGTTGTCGTTGTTGTTTGTTGAGCACAATGGCACGCGATTGCCGTGCACAATTTGGGAGGTTGAGGTAGGAGGACGGCGGGTAGTGGCGGCTTCAGGCCACAGTGGACTGTCTACAGTGTAGACCCTGTCTCAGCAGGAAAGCATGGGTTTGGAACTAACAGTAGTAATAACAAAGACTAAGTAGCATTTTGAAAGCCAATTCTCTGGAAATTAACGCAGGCTGCTGAGAACAGCTGTTTGCTCTTCTGCAAACTTAGAAAACTTTTTTTTTTTTTTTTTGGTTTTTCGAGACAGGGTTTCTCTGTGGCTTTGAAGCCTGTCCTGGAACTAGCTCTGTAGACCAGGCTGGTCTCGAACTCACAGAGATCCGCCTGCCTCTGCCTCCTGAGTGCTGGGATTAAAGGCGTGCGCCACCATCGCCCGGCTAGAAAACTTTTTATTTATTTATTTAGTTTGTTTGTTCATTGTGAACATACTAGAGTGTGCACACTAGCATCAGAGAACAGACTGTGGGAGTCAGCTCTCTCCCTCTGCCATGTGGGTTCTGGGGACGAACTCAGGTTCCCGGCCTCGGCAGCAGGTGCCTTTATTCACTAAGCCGTCTCCCGAATCCCAACTCATATTGGGTTTTCCATTTGCAGGTTAGAAACTTAGGACTTTCTCACACTCATGAGCGGTTCTGTGGGGCGGAGCTGGTACTGTGCCCCATGCTTGATGCTCAGACTCAATACAATGTCCTTGGCCCTTCCACCATCAAAAGCTCCTCCTAAGCCAGGCCTTGGATGAACATCAAATACTGCAGAGGGCAAGGAAAAGTGCCATGGATACAAAGGGCTCTCAGGCCAGGCAGGAACCTGAGAATTACTCAGGGTTTGGGCATGTTCTCTAATCCATCAGACTTATGACTGACTGATTTATTTATTTATTTATTTGTTTGTTTGTTTGTTTGAGACAGGGTTTCTCAGTATAATAGCTCTAGTTGTCCTGGAACTTGTTCTGTAGACCAGGCTGGCTGCGAACTCACAGAGATCCACGTGCCTCTGCCTCCTGAGTGCTGGGATTAAAAGTGTGAGCCACCCCCTCCCAGTTGATTGACTGATTTATTTTAAGACATTCTCATAGTGTAGTCCTGGAATTCACTATATAGAACAACTTGGTCCCAAACACCAGCTTCTACCTCTGCAGTGCTGGGATTAAAGATATGTGTCAACAGCAGGTGTATGTGCGTGCATGGATGCTTACATGCATGTGTGTGTGTGTGTGTGTGTGTGTGTGTGTGTGTGTGTGTATGCATGACAGGGTCTCATGCAGCCCAGGGTAGCTTCAGTCTTACTAGTAGTCAAAGATGACCTTGAACTTCTTATCCTCCCACCTCTACTTCCAGAATGCTGGGATTTCAGTCATCCACCACCATGCTTGGCTTATGTGCTGCTGGGCATCAGATCCAAGGCTTCCTACAATCAGGGCCAGCGTCTGGATTTTGGTCCCAAGTTTGGCAATGACTTGCTTCTCTGACACTTAGCATTTGCTCATGTGAAATGGGGGACCTTGGGGGCTCAGTGAGTCTGTGCCAACTAGGGAATTCTTGAGTCTGGACCAGGGCAGGCTGGCCTGGACCCAGATTTCAGGGACATCAAGTCACAGAGCTGCTGTAGCACAGGGGAGGGGCTATGGGGGGGCGGAGCTGGGATGGGACTGGAATGCCACAGATCAGCTATGCCTGTCAAGGCAATGAGAACCTTATGAAGTTTGGGGGCTCTCTTCTCTCTTATCTATCTATCTATCTATCTATCTATCTATCTATCTATCTATCTATCTATCTATCTATCTATTATGTATACAATATTTTGCCTGCAGGCCAGAAGAGGGCACCAGACCTCATTACAGATGGTTGTGAGCCACCATATGGTTGCTGGGATTTGAACTCAGGACCTTTGGAAGAGCAGGCAATGCTCCTAATTGCTGAGCCATCTCTCCAGCCCCCTCTCTTTTTTCCTTATGGAATTAAAATATAGATTTCAGGGTTGAGGACATAGCTGGGGTACAGCCTTTGTCTACCTTTTTGAGGCCCTAGGTTCCATCTCCATTACAGAGGGGAAAAGACTGATAAAACTCCAGAGGAAGAACACCTGCTCACTGGAACTGCTGGGCAATCCTCAAAGCAAGTTTAGATTTGTTTTAAAGTCTCTACTGGTGAGGGTTGGAATTAGTTGTTTCCAAACTTTGTTCCTGCCCTGAACGATTCAGCAATGAAGAGTGCCCAGAACTCCAAAGTCCCCAGACAATGACAGGGACCCTGGACTCTCAGGATTTCAAAATACCAAGCCCATAAGGTTTCACACTCCATGCTCAGAGCTTCAGGTATATCTATAGAAAATAATCATCTAGGGTCCAGAGAGGTGGATTCATCTGCATGAGGTCTCACAGCCTGTGGGAAGGAAGAGTTTGGATGCCCTATCTTGTTCTTGTTGTTGTTAGTTATCAGAACCAGAACAGGTCTCCCGTAGCCCAGACTGGCCTTGAGTTTACTGAGTAGCCAAAGATGACCTTGAACTTGTGACACTCCACCTCCTGAGTGCTGAGATTACAGGTGTGTGCCACCACGTCCAGTTTATGTAGTGCTGGGGATAGCATGCTGGGCAAGCGAGCATTCTACCAGCTAAACCACATCCAAGCCTGCAAGTCCAGACTTTGATTGTGTGATTCCTTCTGTGCTGGCATGGGACTCAGTGCCTAACCCTTGGCAGGCATGCACTGTAGGCGAGCTCTTACCCCAAACTCAGGTTTTGTGATACCCACTTAAGTCTTTATGGATAGCTATCTTTACCAGGCAACTTTTTTGATTGAGCTTGGTGACACTCACAAAGTTCTGCACGTCTTCGCCTTGTATTCCAGACGTCTCCACACAAGCCAGTCTGGGCTCAAAGAGAAGGACCCCAGGGTGGGGAGCCTGGGGAGTTAGAGAGGCAGGTGGGCTGCGCTTGGCGTTCCAACAGCCTCCGGACTGTGGCACTGCCAGAGTCAGCTGTTCTCAATCAGAGATGAGAAACCCGAAGCCACAAAGGATTGGGTTAAACATGAGGATTTTTGTAGCTTTAGATTGAATTGAATTCAGGGTCCCTGCTGGCTCGGGGTCTGAGAGACCCAGAGGGGCGCGAGAGTAACGAAAAGCGGGAGCCTTATTGCCCTCCTCGGGGTCCCCACTCCACCCCGCTGCCCTGGGTGTCATCCGTCTTTGCAGGTCCTGGGGAACCCACATAGGGGAATGGGGTGGTGGAGGAGGGAGGAACAATGGTCCCCTCCCTCCCTCTCCTCGCTCCCCTCCCTCCCCAGCTGGCTGGAGGGTGGGGTCTCCCCGCCCCGCCTCCCCGCTCCTCCTCCGACCAGGCGATGAGGTAATCGCGCCGCTGAGAGGCACGCGCAGCCGGTGCCCAGCCCGGTCGGTCCCCGCGCCCCTTCCCGCACCCCTGACACGCTCGGGGGACCTGGGTCTCCCGGTTGCACCATGACGGAGCGCTGCAGCCTGTGGAGTGCGCTGTCCGCCGCTGCTTGCTGCTTCTACCGTGGCTCACTGGTGCAGGTGCAGGTGAGGGGGCGGCGCGGGGACCCGGGTCACTGAGCCCGGCCGGCTGTGATGGGTACCGCAGTCCGAGAGCATCCCCGCAGGGTTGTGCGGGCCGGGCCAGGGGCGAAGAGAGGGGGCGGGGTCGCTCCAAGCTCACCTCGGGGTACCCAGGGCGCTCCGCGGGGTGCGGGTCCAGGGGGTCATTCCTGAGACTCTGGACTGCAAGAGATGTGGGAGCGAGTTGGAACTGGGACTCGGCTGGGAGGTGGGCTTCCTCCAGTCTGCTATGGGGTCCCTGCTGCTGACCCTAAGCCACCTGGGTTCCCATTGTACCAGGGACGCAGGGCTGGGATCTAGAAGCAGAGTTAAGGGCAGTATGCTACAGGGCACGCGGCGGAGACTACAGTGTCGCTACCCTCCAGCCATCTGGGTGGGTTCAGGGTGCTGGGGGTGCAGGTCTCGCAGGCCAGTTGGCCCAGCAGTGCAGGAGCGCGCAGTGGCGGTGCGAGGGTTAAACGGAAGGGGGTGGAGGGGAGGACCCGGACCCCGCCTCTCTGCGGAGCATCCTCTGGGGTGGCTGTGTCAGGGGTTGGGATACCTAAGGGAGCTGGGGGAATAGTGCTGGACATTGGCTGGTGGGAAGAGGTTAAGACCCTGACAGAGGTTCTCCCCATTGCTGCCTCTCGGGCTTCCTGGGAGATGCGGGGCACCTCACCTCTGAGCTCCCCCAACCTCACACACACACTTGCTCCGAGCCCGCCTGAATGACGGCCCCGCCGGCGGCGGAGCGCAGCATCCCCGCACGGGCCAATCAGGCGTGCGCAGGCCGGGAGGCGGTGAGATCATCTCTGGCCAATCGCATTGCTCCGAGCGCAGGGATGCTGCATTCGCACCTACCCCCCCCCCCAACTCTTGGGAGCTGAGGACCCTGAGGCCCAGGGTGAGGAGTAGGTCATAGGGGTTCTAGGGCTTCCTACCCCTAGGTGTGTGGAAGGTTGGGGTCTTCACCCCCAACTCGTAACCTTTGATTAGGGCTGGAAATGAGGTACCATTCTCCAGAACCCCTTTACAGATGAAGCTACACAAGCCCAGCCAGGGAAGTGACTGGTCCAAGGTCACACAGTGTCACGTCCACGTTCTTTGGGACACAGTCTGTCCCTAATTTATTCCAAAATTGGGAGGGGAGTTCCAGTGTGTGCTATTAGGAGCAGAGAGTGGTGTGTTTGTGTGTGTGTGTGTGTGTGTGTGTGTGTGTGTGTGTGTGTGTGGTGGCTGGGTACAGGATCCATTTCATGTGCTTCTCACCTTTCTTTCCCAGAATCCTATGTGGTTTGAAGGGGTGTGGTGGGGGGGAGGCCTGCACTGCTGTGGGCACTTCAGAATGGAAGGGAGGAGGCTAGGGCTGGAGAGATGGCTCAGTGGTGAAGAGCGCTGGCTGCTCTTCCAGAGGGTCCGGGTTTGAGTCCCAGCATCCAGTTGGCAGCTCACACCTGTCAATAATTCCAGGATTAGGCACAGAAACACATGCAGGCAAAACACCCGTGCACACAAAATAAAAATGAGTTGTTTAGAAAAAGAAAAAGGGAGGAGGCTAATGATCTTAAGGAATAAGGGGACCTCTTGGAGAAGGGTCATAGACTGGAAAGGCCCAAATCTCAGCTTCGCCAAGACTTCTCCGCCCTGCTAGGGCATTGATTTCTGCCGTGTTGCAGGCAGTCCCTGTCTTTTCTCCTGTGCGACCAGATGGTTCCCTCTGTCTCTAGAACTCGGGAGGCACTCAGAGCCCCACGGCCATGTGTTCCTTGATTTTGCTTTAGCTGCCTTTTAAAGAATGACCCATCCTGCTCCCAGAATTCCCGCTGGTGTCCATCCTCTCTGGCCCCTCGGCCTTCTTCCCTTCCACCGGTCCATTGGCCACTAACACCCTTTTCTTGTTGCCTCCGGCTCCTCTGCCATGGACAGAAGTGAGGCTGGCACCACACTGCACTCTTCTTAGGCCTCTGGGTGATGTCCAAGCTCCCCAGGCAGCACCATACTCTGCCCAACTTGCCCACCATCTATAGACCCAAATCTGCCCACAAGGCCCCACCTTTGCCCCAGCTCTTCCCTGGCCACCTACCTTCCATCCCGTTTTTCTCCGTCTCTGACCGGGCAAGGGGCACTGCAGCTCTGAAGATGTAGACACATGGAATTAAGTGTGGGGGTCTACATGGGCACCTCTAGGACAGTGAGCTAACTTGGGCACCTCTAGGGCAGTGGGCTATCCTGGGCACCTCTAGGACAGTGAGCTAACTTGGGCACCTCTAGGACAGTGGGTTATCCTGGGCACCTCTAGGACAGTGGGCTATCCTGGTCACCTTGGGCTCCAGACTCAGCATAGCACCCAAGTTGAGCCTGGTCCTGGTTGAGTGAACGCAGCTGTTACTGGAGCTGGAATCTTGCTGTTGGGAAACAGTGGAGACAAGGAAGGAGTCTGTGTGGAGTGTGCACTTGGGTCTGGAAATGCTTGAGGAGTGATTTGCCAGACACTGGGGGCAGCCAGGAGAGACTCTGTTCCCCTGCGATACCTGCCCATATACTTCTGACCAGTTCTAGAGTATATGTCCTGAGGCAGCCATCTTTAGGGAATGGCAAAACCACATAGGGACAAGAGTAGCCGTTAGGTGAGGCAGATCCTGGAGTCCCACTTACTTTACTGAGGAAAGAGTTAAGGCCCAGACTGCTCAGATGGGATGGGCTTGCCTCTATGACGGTGTCCTCTGATAATAGGATGCCTGGGGTTGGGTCACCTCTAAAACCAGGACTGCCCACCATGGGTAGCTGGGAAGGCAGAACCCTTGGCATTAACTTCAGTGAGTGACTATAGACTCCCCTTCAGGGCTGCAGCTTCCAATCTAGGGATCACTTGAGATTGCAAGGGGGAGGAGCCTGGAGAATTGTAATGGGCAGTGAAGCCAGCTGTGAGGGGCCCCTGCCCCTTAATGACTGCCTTCGGCCCTCTGTCATGCCGTTCACATGCCCACATGTAGCCTCGTCTGTTTAGCTAGTTGGTCCAGGTCTCTCAGACTGACCTTCAAGATGGCCCTGCGGACTCTAGAGGGTTTTTGTACCGAAGTCTCCTTCAGGAGATCTCCAGTCCCTCAGTCACAGACTTAATCTTCTGGTCAGGAGAGAGCAGGGACTCTTTGGCGCTGTCCAGCACCCTGGTGCTGATGGCAGCTGCCTTGCTTGGCTAAGCTCGTGTCTCAGTTTGGGGACTTACTGGATGGAGAACATGGCCTGACTTAGGCTTCACCGTATCCACCCCTTGCATAGGTACTTCTGGTAGAATAAATTGAAATTTTACTCTGTCTGGGATAGGGACCCACAGTGAGGAGCCGCAGCAAGTGTTTTAGTGTCCTCAACAATCCCAGGATTAAAGATGAGCTGGGGAAGAATGGGTTGAGAGGAAAAAGGAAGGGGCTGAGGAACTGGACACTAACCTCACTCTCCCCATGCAGTTCTCCAAGGAGAAGTACATTCTTGACTCCTCACCGGAGAAGCTGCACAAGGAGTTAGAAGAAGAACTGAAGCTCAACAGCACAGACCTCCGCAGCCATGCCTGGTACCACGGACGCATTCCTCGGGAGGTGAGTGGGCCCCAGGCAGGGATCTCAGCCCTGGCCCCTTCCACCCACACTTTGGCCAACCTCGGCCTGGCTCCAGTCACCCCAGAGTCTCTGGCCTGTCCCTTGGTGAGGTTGAGGTTTATATTTACCATTTACTCTGTGACTTTGAGAGAGTGCCATCACCTCTCCGGGCCTGTCCTCCCTACGATGGAGAGAATGTATTCTAGGCAGAGAGGGTTTCTAGAGGGAGCAGGCACACCCAGAGATGGTGTGGGTGGTGTCTGGAACTCACTTGCCTGACGAGAACCCCGAAAGGGGCTGGGTCTGAGACCTAGGTCTGTAATGACAGTGATTCCAACACTTACAGTCACTGTGCCCTGAGCACATTCCAAGTGCCACCTCCTGCCTTTCCTGGGCCTCTGTGCATCTGACCCAGGGCATCAGCTGAGGTGCCACCTTGGAACCTGGTTCTAAGCTTCAGCAGTCTGATGTCTACCAGCTATGCTCTGGGTGCTGCCTTGGTGTCCCCATTTCAAAGTCTCCATGTCCCCCGACCCCGGCTCTGGTGTTCTGGTAAACTTAGTTTCTCCATACCTTCTGTAGGTCTCTGAGACCCTGGTGCAGCGCAACGGCGACTTCCTCATCCGGGACTCACTCACCAGCCTGGGGGACTATGTGCTCACATGCCGCTGGCACAACCAGGCCTTGCACTTCAAAATTAACAAGGTGGTGGTGAAGGCGGGTGAGAGCTACACCCACATCCAGTACCTCTTTGAGCAGGAGAGCTTCGACCATGTGCCAGCCCTCGTGCGCTACCACGTGGGCAGCCGTAAGGCTGTGTCCGAGCAGAGCGGGGCTATCATCTACTGCCCTGTCAACCGCACCTTCCCACTGCGCTACCTCGAGGCCAGCTATGGCCTGAGCCAGGCCAGCAGCAAGGCTGCCAGCCCCGTCAGCCCCTCAGGCTCCAAGGGCAGCCACATGAAGAGACGAAGCGTTACCATGACCGACGGGCTCACCACTGACAAGGTCACCCGCAGCAATGGCTGCCCCAACAGGTCAGCCAGGTCCCCACTCTCCTGGTTTGTTAAATGGGGTGTCAATAATGAGAAATGGGTATGGAAGGGAGGCCCAGTTTCCCTGAGCTATGTGAGGCTCTGTGCAGGGGAGTGGGAGGCTGAGGGCACCCGTGAGAGGCTGTCTATGGGGAGGATGGGGTCTATGGTCTTAATTTACAGAGACCATGGGGATAAGTTGGGCTCTGGCCTGCATGTCTCTTCCTGTCATTCCAAGAGAGACATAGAAGAGCCCGAGGAGCCTCAGCTTAGCCAGGTGTCCCCAAACTGTGTCTCTAAGCCTAGGAGAAGAGAATTCTGGATAGGGATGGATAGGGAAAGCAGGGTAACTGAGGGAGGGAGGTGATGGGAAGTAAGCCAGTGGAAGCAGATAGAGCTGTGCCCACTGAAGACCAGGGTCTGTGGGAGTCAGGCCCGCTGGGGGCTGTGTCTGGGAGTCGGGACCTGCTATGGGTCTGCTGAGGTCAAAGCCCACTGGGGCCAGGGCTGGGAGTCGTCTGCTCCACCTGAGCTCTTACGTCTCCAGCTTTCGCATTTGTCCATTGAGAAACTGAACGTGACAGTCACTTTTTCTGCTTCTGAAGTTAAGGGGGTGGGGAGCAGGGTCCCCTGATTTCTGACCTTGGGGCTCATGGAATCCCTATCCACAGCACCTCACTGCCCCATCCTCGGGACGCCATCAGGAACTGTGCCCTCAGCATGGACCAGATCCCAGAACTTCACTCACCCCTGTCTCCTATCTCCGAGAGCCCCAGCTCCCCTGCCTATAGCACTGGTAAGCTCGCAGAGGGGGTGGGCAATGTCTGTGGCTTGTTCCTGCATCAACAGTTCACAGAGTTCCCACGGGTGCCAGGCAGTGGGCACAAAATCGGTTCTCAGCATGAGCCCCAGGATGAAGGAAGCCGCTGGAGGTGCGACATGGGCCAGGGCTCGAGGCTGTGGCATACACTCACGCCGCAGTGCTTGGCCTCCTCAGGCAAAATCCCATTCTTTCTGCCTAGCAAGGACCCAGCAAGTGCATCCCTAGGTCCTGGTGTTAGTTTAGACCAGGCTAACCCAGGCCTGTATGCTTTGCTGTTTGTTGTTCCTTTAAGACGGTTTCTCTGTGTAGCCTCGGCTGTCCTGGAACTCACTCTGTAGACCAGGCTGTCCTTGAACTCACAGAGATCCACCTGTCTCAGCCTCCCAAGTGCTGGGATTAAAAAGTGTCTAACAAACTGAAACCTAATCACCCAGCAAACATTTTACATTTTAGAGAAGTTTAAGGTTTATAACATAATCAAGATCACGGTACTCTGTGTTTATAAATTCAAAGAAAAGTCAACACATGCCCCCTGTTTATTTCTGAAAATATAAGCAAAACAAACCTCAAATGGTTAAACAAAATATCTTATCCCCAAAGTGGCCAAAGCATTGTGACAGGCACTGTCTCCAGGAGCCTTGGCTTGGAGGAAGCGTTCTGTGCCTCTAGAATGTCACCGTGTGCCCCATGGCTCCCCTTGAACTCAAGGCCATCAGCTTTGTCGGTGCACACACTTGCTTTCTTTTTTTTGTTTGTCTGTTTGTGTGTTTTGTTTTTTGAGTCAGAGTTTCTTTGTAGCTTTAGGACCTGTCCTGAAACTCACTGTGGCCTCGAACTCACAGAGATCCATCTGCCTCTGCCTCCCGAGTGCTGGGAGTACACCACTGCCCGGCCACACTTCCTTTCAAAACAGCGCCTCCATGAGAAAACATTTATTTATTTGTACTCCTATTTATTTATTTATTTATTTATTTATTTAGGGTTTTTTGAGACAGGGTTTTTCTGTGTAACAGCCATGGCTATTTTGGAACTCACTCTGTAGACCAGGCTAGCCTCAAACTCATAGAACTGCCTGCTTCTGCCTCCTAAGTGCTGGGATTAAAGGATTACACCACCACACCTTGCTCGTCTCTGCCTCGTGAGGATTGCCAGCATGAGGCACCACACTTGATTTACTGTTTTGTTTTATAATTTCTTTACATTTACTAACTTATTTGCATATGTGGTACAGGGGGCACAAATGTTCCATAGCACATGTGGGGAGGTCAGTGACAACTCAGAATGTTGCTGCTCTCTACCGTGTGGGTTCCAGGGATCTAACTTAGGCTGTTGGATGGTGATGTCTTCACTCACTGAGCCATCTAATCCTATCTCCCTTTTTTGAGACAGGATCTCTCTAAGTACCTCAAGGTGGTTTGGAACTCATGTGGCTCTGGCTGGTGTTGTGTACCACCATGCCTGGCAAGACAGGGTTTCTCTGCATAGCAGTCCTGGCTGTCCTGGAACTCAATTTGCAGACCAGGCTGGCCTCAAACTCACAGAGATCCCTGTAGACCAGGCTAGCCGCGAATTCACCAAGATCCTTGTAAACCAGGCTAGCCTTGAATTCACTGAGACTGACTATAGACCAGACTGGCCTTGAACTCATTGAGATCTGCCTGCCTCTGCCTCCCAAGTGCTGGGATTAAAGTCATGCGCCACCACTGCCAGGTAGCATTCACCTCTTTTTGTTGATGGTTTTACTGTTGATGGTGAATCTCCAGCTCTTTACCAGCTCTGGGCACACACCCCACACCCCGTAAATCATTATTGCTAACTCGTTGGGTGATAGACTCCAGCAGGCTCTGCTTCTCTGGACCACCTGTGGCTTTCTGATGTTGCAGCTTCTTCGGGAACCAATGGGGCATGCAAGCACCATTGGTTCAGCATCACGAAGCGTCCGCCTCCACATGCTGGGAGGTGGGGACACCACCTCCATACACAAGATGGGGAAGTGGAGAAAGGGGACCCCTTTTTTAAGGGCAGCCGAGATAACCAGTCTCCTTTCTCCTCTCTGCAGTGACCCGTGTCCACGCTGCCCCCAACACCCCATCTACCACAGCCCAGCCTGCCTCGCCAGGAGCCCGCCGCTCCAGTGAACCTCAGTTATCTCATGGAAGTGCTCCAAAGCCTCCTGGGGAGTCAGAAAAGGGTCCCCACGGAAGCCCGTCTCACACCCTCTGTAAAGCCCCACCGTCCCCATCCCTCAACAGCTACAGTGACCCGGACTCTGGCCATTACTGTCAGCTCCAGCCTCCTGTCCGTGGCAGCCGAGAGTGGGCCGCGGGAGAGGCCCCCCGGAAGACTCGGAGCTCTGGGGAGAGGCAAAAGGAACTGTCGGAAAATGGGGTCCCTGACGGGGAGTGGGGCAAGACCTTCACAGTCCCTGTAGTGGAAGCCACCTCGTCTTTCAACCTGGCTACCTTCCAGTCACAGCTGATCCCCAAGGAGAACCGGCCTCTGGAGGCGAGCCTTCTGCGCAAGGTCAAGGAGCTGCTGTCCGGGGTGGATGCCCGGACGCTGGCCCGGCACGTCACCAAGGTTGACTGCCTGGTAGGTGTTAAGAATGTACCTTCATCTTCTGGCTTTGCGGTCAGGAGTCAAGGACAGTGAAGCCATGGCCGGCTTCACGGGTGTCTTTCTAGGTGCTGGGACCCTGGGCTTATCTGTCATTGGGCACGAGGACCTCCTTTCTCTTCTTTTACTTTGTTTTGTTAGGAACTCATTATGTAGCTGTGGCTGGCCTCGAACTCACAGAGATCTGCCTCCTCTGCCTCAGAGTGCTGGGATCAAAGGCGTGCGCCACCGGCCCTGCCCATTCTCTTCTTTTAAAAAGCCAAAACCAAGGTGTTCCTACAGCCTCTAGAAGTTGGTTTGGGATGAGGGCTGACGTTTTGAGGGAATTTAGAGAATGTCCTGGTTCCAGCCTAAAGAAAGTCAGCGCCTGATTTAGGGAGGAGAGGAACCTGGTCCCCGCCCCCACGCCCCCTATTGGACAGCAAGCAAAAATCATTCTCTCACCAGTAAACTGTCAAGATCCCACAGTGCGATCCTGCTATGAACCCTAGTTCTTCCTGCACCTCAGTTCTCTCTCTGTAGTTTGGGGTATATGCTGGTCCGAGAAACCAGGAAGTGAGAAAAGACACAGAAGGGATGTTGCTAGTCGAGAAGAGGGGGAAACTGGGTTGCAGGCCTGAGTGTGTGAACTTGGGCCTTGGGTTGGCAGTCTAGGACAATGGCATCCTGGCTCTTAATCTTAAGTGAGTACTTAACATGGCACATACCTCTGGACATTTTCCCGTCCCCCCATTTTACAGATGGGGAAGCTGAGGCTCACTCAGAAAGGGATAATCACTTGCTCCGTGTTCTCAGTGGCCTCGTAGTCAGGCGACCCTCTTAGTTGACGCTCTGACTCCCAGATGGCTTGGACCAACTCTGACAGGAAATTAATCAGCCCTTTGGGCGTCTTTGCAGGTTGCTAGGATACTGGGTGTTACCAAGGAGATGCAGACCCTAATGGGAGTCCGCTGGGGCATGGAGCTGCTCACCCTCCCCCATGGCCGGCAGCTAAGACTAGACCTGCTGGAAAGGTAAGGTGTGCACCAGCCTTTCCGGCTGTCCCAGGGCTCTGACCACTCCTCCCAGTCCATTAGCCAATCGCAACCCTTTGGTATTCGGCTCAAAGCCAGGCTGATTTCCCAAAGACAGCAGCTGATCGATCGGCTTCTTTTCTCGCATCCCCACGTCCATCAACCTTGGTCCATCCCACCGTTACTGTCCACTGTGTTCATTCTAAAACTCCGCCCTTCGGATTTCGCCGATCAATTACAAGCCCCTCCTCCTGGCATCCCGATCCCGCCCCTGACTTATATTGTCCAGTTGGGGGGGCTTCCTTCGCCTTTGCCTGTCATTCTGACTGCGCCCCTTAGTCCTTAACTCTGCTCTCGGCCTCGGCCCTTTAAGACCTACGCCTGGCCCCGCCGTGTGTCACTTCCCCTCTGACCCGACCTCTCCCACAGATTCCATACAATGTCCATCATGCTGGCGGTGGACATCCTGGGCTGCACGGGCTCTGCAGAGGAGCGGGCAGCGCTGCTGCATAAGACCATCCAGCTGGCGGCCGAGCTGCGGGGGACGATGGGCAACATGTTCAGCTTCGCTGCGGTCATGGGCGCCCTGGAGATGGCCCAGGTACTGCGGGGTCCGCGGGGTGTGTCCCCTGTTTGGGTGGGGTGGGGGAGGATAGAGGATAGAAGATCTTCCTGAGTCTCTGGGTTCCTCTGTGAAAGACCCAGGAGAGTTCTCCACGTTTTACCGTCTGATCCCTTCTCTGGGCCTCTGCTGCCGTACCTGTAAGATGAATGAGAAACACTGAGGTTAGAGAATATACAGTGTGTTGATGGGTGGGCTGGAGAGATGGCTCCACTGAAGAGCATCCTGTTCTGGCTAGAGGGTGCAGGGTCTGTCCATTCCCAGTCTCCAAGTCACAACAGCCTACACCTCCTACTCCGCCTTCTAGTCTTGCGTGTCCATGGGGCACAAAAATCCACTAAGGCACACACGTACACCTAAAATAAGAAAATCCTTAGAAAACAGAGCATACGGTGGGAGCAGGTTCCAGCTCAGTTATTAGAGTGCTTGTTGGGCACAATTCGGTTGCCTGCACCGCATACACCAGGCATGGTGGTGCATGCTTATAACCCCGGCACTGGGAAGTGGAGCTGGGGGGCCAGAAATTAAATACATGACACTCTGCTCCCAAACAACCAGGACATACAGGGTCTTTGGTTTGAGGAGCTTTCTGTAGGCGAGGCACCACACAGCCCTTCCCGGCCTCGTGAGAGAGACTCCGTGTTGTCCTATCTTACAGAGGCACAACAGCAGCTGGGGCGGTCACTCAGTCCAAAGCTGAGATTTAGGGTTGTGAATGTGTTGCCATGGTTTCATGAAAAGGGTATGAAAAACACCCTTCCCATTTCATGAGTGACAGCCAGGGAAATAATTATTGTCCCACATCAGGGTGTTCAGTCAGTGGGGTGGCTGTAACCAGCTGCTCCTGGAGGGTCTTTTCCTAGCCGGTGTCTCATAGCCCGGTCTCCACAGATCTCGCGGCTGGAACAGACGTGGGTGACCCTGCGGCAGCGGCACACGGAGGGTGCCATTCTGTATGAGAAGAAGCTCAAGCCTTTCCTCAAAAGTCTCAATGAGGGCAAAGGTACCTTCCTTCTGACTCTGCCTTCTCTGGCTTACCAGAGTCTCTCCTGGGGTGGCGAGGGTGTGGGTGCGACTGTTTTCCTTTTCCCTGTGGGGTGGCCATGTCCGCCCTGTCCACGCCAGGGTGGGCTCACCAGGGAAAGAGGGCACTGTCCCAGGTGACCGGTGCTCTTTGGGACTGTAGTGGGCGGCAGGGTCTTCAGGTCTAACTGCCCGTCGCCCCCTCTACAGAAAGCCCGCCCCTGAGCAACACCACCTTCCCACACGTACTGCCGTTCATTACGCTGCTGGAGTGTGACTCGGCCCCCGCCGAGGGCCCTGAACCCTGGGGCAGCACAGAACACGGCGTGGAGGTTGTGCTAGCCCACTTGGAGGCCGCCCGCACTGTGGCACAGCACGGGGGTCTCTATCACACCAATGCCGAGGTCAAGCTGCAGGGTGAGTAACGGCCATGTCTCTAGGATCCTGCCCTCTACTGGCTTTCCTCACCTCCCTCTGTCCACGCTGCTTCCCTGTCTCCAGCCATGCACTGACATTTCCCGCTCCTCAGTCTTGCCTCCCGGCTCCCTTACCCCGGTAATCTTGTCACTCATTGGTTCCACAAGCGGTTGTCAGCCAGAGCATCAACTGCCGATGTGAGGTGGGTTGAGAGGCACTGACATCTTTCGAGTATCTTGAATGAACGCACAAAGCCCCAGGTCCCACCCCCGGTGCCACCTGCACACACACGAACACAAATCACCACCTAGTCTTTACCAAATCCCAGGTTGCAAATACTTGAAGGAAGACTAGGTGCCAACTGCAAGCTGTATTCTCCGCTGTGTTTTGTTGGGTTAGGGAAAGGTTCCTGAAGGATGAGGCCCCTCCTTGAGACCCCTGCCTTGTCTCCCCTCTCCAGACCCCTGACGTGTCCCCTCCTCTCTCCCCTCCCCCACAGGGTTCCAGGCCCGGCCGGAGCTGCTGGAAGTGTTCAGCACGGAGTTCCAGATGCGTCTCCTCTGGGGCAGCCAGGGCGCCAGCAGCAGCCAGGCCCGGCGCTATGAGAAGTTTGAAAAAGTTCTCACTGCCTTGTCCCACAAGCTGGAACCTGCCATCCGCTCTAGCGAGCTGTGACCCCGGAGAACTTGCCTCTCTGCAGCTGCGGGCAGCATTGGGGGCAGAGGGGTTCAGGACTTTCCCCAGACACCACAGGAACACTGTGATCGGCCCAAGAATGTTCTGGGTTCAGCTCCAGGATCCCCCTTGCACTTCTAGGGTTCTGAATGGACTCGGGATTCCATCCTTCCATCAGACACACACAGAGTCTCCCTTCCAGAAGGACAGGAACCTCTGTCCCTCCCACCGGCTTCCGCTGTTTCCCATCTCTGCCGAGGTGCCCTGTTTTTGAGCCAGGGGAGGCTCCCCGTCCCTCTGCCTTCCTCCGGCTCTCCATCTTGCTGTAAATAAGTCCGACCTGTAAATATATGTACAGAAGCCGCGCCTTCTCTTTCATACAATAAACTTGAATGGCCTTCTTCTGTCCTGGCTAAGAGGAGGCACTTGCCTCATGTCAGTGGTGAAAAACTTCAGCCAACTTTAGCACCAAGGACTTTCCATATTATACAGCCAACCAGGGGTACGGCAGACAATCGATCGGTCACTCCCTGACTCCAGGACCTCGGGCATTAGCAGGGAGGCAGTCAGTCCAAGCCAGTGCAGGAAGTAGGAGCCCACTCCTCACTCTCCTCTGAGCTCAGGGCCTGTCCAGAGAAGCCATAAATAAGCAAGAAGCTCAGAGTTTGGGTTAGGAGGGCTCCTTGAAGTTAGGGTTCTGGAGAGATGGTTTAGAGGACAAGGGTTCAATTCCCAGTAGCCACATGGTGGCTCATGAATGCTAACTACAGTCCCAGGAGATCTGGTGCCTTCTGGCCGTTGTGGGTACCACACACGCGTGATATGCAGGCAAAACCCCCATACACATTAAAAAAAAAACTTTCAACTGGGTGTGGTGATTACACCTTTAATCCTGTCACTTTGGAGGCAGAGGTCAGGCTAGGCTGCATAAGACCCTCACCTCAAAAAAATAATCTTCAGAAAAAGGATGCTTGTTTCCTGTAGAGACTGACACGTGGTGGGAGAAGGGACTTTTCCTGAGGCATAACAGAATAGGCAAGTAGATGGGGAAGTACGGGCTGATGGTGATCCTAGGTCAAGCCTCAGACCTCAGGAACCTGTTCACCTTTAATCCCAGCACTCGGAAGGTGGGGCAGGCAGATCTCCTTACGTTCGAGGCCAGGCTGATCTACAGAGCGAGTTCCAGGACAGCCAGGGCTACACAGAGAAACCTTGTCTGGAAAAATGTGAGAGACAGAAGGAAGAAAAGGGAAAGTTACGGTTTTTTTTTAAATTACCCAGACTTAGGAAATTGCTGTCTTTTAATTTACTTATTTATCCATTTAGTCTGTGTTTGCATGCACGTGTGGATATCAGAGGACAGTTCGCAGGAGATGGTTCTCTCTTCTCAGCAGGCAGGCTCTGGGGATTGACCTCAGGCATGGTGGCAAGCATCTTTAGCCACTGTGCCGTCTCGCGAGTCCTGCTGACTATCTTCTGAGCAAAAACACTAAATGTGACCGCATCTCACTGAATATCACTTCCCTGGATATGGCAGGTGTTGTTACATGATATGTGTATGGCACCTGACAGGCAGAGAGATGCTCTCAGAAAACCTAAGTTAGCACGCTTTGTTAAAGAGCTTGGAAAAGGCGCCCAGCAAAGTGTAAGGTTCCGCAGAAGTTTTTGTTATCATCGTTGCGTCACCCTCTTAGCAATCCTTTATTCTTTCTGAGGTAGGGTGATGGCCCCTAGTTACTCTTGACCACGAAACGCGGGCTACAGCCTCGGATTAGGCGGTTCGCTGGCTCCCCCTGGCGGCCAAGTTTTGGTACTGCTACTAGACCACTCCAGGTTTTAGAGACGCGAGAAAGGGGAGCCGGGAGTTGTAGGCAGTGGGCGTGGCTGCTGCGGAGCGGTGCGCACCGGGAGCTGTAGTTTACAGGTCCAGGCGATGGGCGGCCTCAGGCCGAAATCGGGACTCAACCGGATGGCTGTTGCTAGGCGAGGCTGCCTGCCCCGGGGCTCGATCCTCTGGCTGCTCGGACTGGTCTTGGCCACCGCCACCGCCTGGGACGTGGCTTCTCTGTACTGCAGCTTCAGCTCGTTCTGCGAATGCGACTTCAGGCCGGACTTGCCGGGTGAGGGGTGGGAGCCAAGGCAGAGGGGTGGGCAGCCGGTAGCTCGCTTGGGGTCGAAGCGGCTACAGCCGGGGCCGGCGGGGGGAGATCAGAGAGCCTCCGGCACAGTCCTGAGGCAACGGTTTGTGGGTGCCCTGTGGAGAGGGGCGCCTGGTGGCTTATGGAAGGCCTCCCTTGAGGGAACTTGTCGCCGGGGGAGAAACCTGCCGGCGGCCCGGATCTGGGCTGGTGCTCACTCGGGGCTGGTGCAATCCAGGGAACCCCCGCGAGGGAGCGCTGCTGCAAGGCTCTTGCTGAGTGGCTTCTCGGTCTCTCCTTTGAACAAATATCTCCAGAGGCCTCGGACAAGCCTTTCCTCTTTGCCTTGATGGTTTTTTGTTTGTTTGTTTTAAATTATTTTATTGGTGTTTTTAGCCTGTATGTATATCTGTGTGAGGGTGCTGGATCCTGGAGTTACAGACAGTTGTAAGATGCCATATGGGAATTGAACCCTGGTCGTCTAGACTGAGCCATCTCTCCAGCCCCCGTTGTTTTTGCTTTTTTGTTTGTTTGGGTTTTTTTTTTTTTTTTGCTGTTTTTTCTTTTTTTAAACAAATGATTTTTTTTATTGAGCTCTACATTTTTCTCTGCTCCCCTCCCTTCCTCTCCTCTCCCCTTCAACCCTCTCCCATGGTCCCCATGCTCACAATTTACTCAGGAGATCTTGTCTTTTTCTACTTCCCATGTAGATTGGATCTATGTATGTCTCTCTTAGAGTCCTCATTGTTGTCTAGGTTCTCTGGCATTGTGATTTGTAAGCTGGTTTTCTTTGCTTTATGTTTAAAAACCACTTATGAGTGAGTACATATGACAATTGTCTTTCTGGGTCTGGGTTACTTCACTTAAAATAGTGTTTTCTAGTTCCATCCATTTGCCTGCAGAATTCAAGATGTTAATTTTTTTGCTGTGTAGTACTCCATTGTGTAAATGTATCACATTTTCCTTATCCATTCTTTGGTCGAGGGGCAATTTTTTTTGTTTTGTTTTGTTTTTGTTTTTCGAGACAGGGTTTCTCTGTGGCTTTGGAGCCTGTCCTGGAACTAGCTCTTGTAGACCAGGCTGGTCTTGAACTCACAGAGATCCGCCTGCCTCTGCCTCCCGAGTGCTGGGATTAAAGGTGTGCACCACCATCGCCTGGCAATTTTTTTGTTTTTGAGACAGGGTTTTTCTACATAGTGCTGACTCTCTTGGAACTCTGTAGACCAGGCTGGCCTCCAACTCACAGAGATCCACTTGGCTCTGCCTCCAGAGGGCTGGGATTAAGGGTTTGTGCCACCATGCCCGGCTGATTTTTCTTTTCCCTTCCCTTTCCTTCCCCTCCTTCCCCTCCTTTCCTTCCTTCCTTCCTTCCTTCCTTCCTTCCTTCCTTCCTTCCTCTTTCTTCCTATCTTTACTTACTTTTTTTTTTTTTTGGTTTTTTTTTCGAGACAGGGTTTCTCTGTGGTTTTGGATCCTGTCCTGGAACTAGCTCTTGTAGACCAGGCTGGTCTCGAACTCACAGAGATCGGCCTGCCTCTGCCTCCCGAGTGCTGGGATTAAAGGCGTGCGCCACCACCGCCCGGCTTTTTTTTTTTTTTTTGAGGCAGTGTCTCACCATTAAGTCTTCTTGGCTTGGAATTCATTGTATAGTCCAAGCTGGCCTATACAGAGATTCCCTGCCTTTGCCTCCCAAGTGCTAGGATTAAAGGCGTGTTGGAACTCACCGTAAGCCCGGGCTAGCCTTTGATTAGCTGGACTGTTGCTGTTTCTGCCTCCCAAGTGTTGAGATTACAGACAAGAGTCACCAGCCCTGCCATCTGCCTTGATACACATTCCATCTGTGGTCCTAGGTCTGGAGTGTGACCTGGCCCAGCACCTGGCTGGCCAGCATCTGGCCAAGGCCCTGGTGGGGAAGTCGCTGAAGGCCTTTATCCAGAACCCGGCCCCCAGCAAACCACTGGTCCTTTCCCTGCACGGCTGGACAGGCACCGGCAAGTCCTACGTCAGCTCCCTGCTGGCACAGTACCTCTTCCAGGGCGGCCTCCGCAGCCCTCACGTGCACCACTTCTCCCCCATCATCCACTTCCCACATCCCAGCCACACCGAGCAGTACAAGGTACAGTGGGTGTGTCCGGGCCCCTTTCCCAGCCCTAACCTGGAGGGTTCCAGTCCACACAGGGCTCACCGTGGTGTCAAGGAGGGGCTTGTTCTCTCTAATACTGGAGAGGAGGCATCAAGAGAGACTAGGGACCCACAGGGCAGATAGTACAGAGTATCTGTCTGCATTCTTGGGCCCCCTTAGCTCTTAGCCCCATTTGGTGCCAGCTCTGATTACTGCTGCTCCTGATCCATCTTAGCTGTCAACACTGTGGGGCAGGTTCAGCTTCCTTGTCATACAAATCGGTAGCTGTCATGAACTGACAGTTGGGGCACTGCTCACCTCGGAGCCTCTCTGGGCTACGCTTTTACCATCTGTCTCAAGGGGTTGGTGTTCTCTGGAAACAGATCATCTCTCTGGGGAGTTTTTCTTGGCTTGGGAAGAAGTTTGGGATTGGGGGCAAGTCTTGCACTTCTTTGGAACTCCTGTTTCTACCCCCACAGAAGGAACTCAAGAGCTGGGTCCAGGGGAACCTCACTGCCTGTGGCAGGTCTCTCTTCCTCTTTGATGAGGTGGACAAGCTGCCCCCTGGCCTGATGGAGGTCCTGCAGCCCTTCCTGGGCCCCTCCTGGGTTGTGTACGGGACCAACTATCGCAAAGCCATTTTCATCTTTATCAGGTGGGTTCAGCACGGGAGCAGGCACAGGGGGGACACTGGTCAACTTGGGCCTGTGCTCCCAGCCCCTTACACTGTCCCTGGCAACTGTCATCAAAGGTGGCTGACTTCCCTCAGACTTTTAGGTCCCTGCTGCTGTGCGGAACCCCTGCCTGGCCATCCCTCTTGGGTAGCTGAGGGGACACAGGCCTGGGAGAAAAGGACCAGTGGTCCTGTTCCCAAGCCATGACTCCTTAGACCAAACCGTTGAGCCTCTTTGAGTACCGGCCTCTGCTTCAGAAGCTCGATTGGTGCTAATGCCCCACTGGCCCCTTGGGGAAAGCTACTTAAAGGGGAAATACATAGACCAAAGGACGCTGTAGCCTGAGTGGGATGGCGCACACTTGTAACCCAGCATTCTGGACCCAGTCAGGAGGATGGCTTCAGTAGCCAGACACTGTGTCAACCCCACTTCCCATTTGGTCTATGAATTGCAAAGTACATGGCACTTGCATGCTATAGAGACCTGGTTGTCATAGGAACTGGGAGGAGGAGGACACGGGCCACTGTGCTTACTGAGTCATGTTAGGTGTCACCCTCTAGCCCCTCAATGAGTCTCAGCCTGGGTGCTTGTGATTTTAGCAACACTGGTGGCGAGCAGATCAACCAGGTAGCCCTGGAGGCATGGCGCAGCCACAGGGACAGGGAAGAAATCAGCCTGCAGGAGCTGGAGCCAGCAGTCTCCCGAGCTGTGTTGGACAACCCTCACTGTAAGTTGGCTCTGGGACATCCTCGTGGGCTAGACCCGAGCGGTGTCCATTGTACCATAGTTGTTTCCTCAGGCCTCTGCACACCCCGCTGTTACCAAAGCAGCAGCGGAGAAACAGCCCCACTCACTCAGCTTGCACACCCCCCCCATGGGGCATGAATTCCTGACTTGAAAAGCTCACCAGGCTTCCATGCCTACCTGCCCTTCCTGCAGATGGCTTCTGGCGGTCTGGCAACATGGAGGAACACCTGATCGATGCTGTGGTACCCTTCCTCCCACTCCAGCGGCATCACGTGCGCCACTGTATCCTCAATGAACTGGCTCAGCTGGGCCTGGAGCCCCAGGAGGAAGTGGTGCAGGCTGTGCTGGACAGCATCACCTACTTCCCGGAGGGTGAACAGCTCTTCTCCTCCAACGGCTGCAAGACAGTGGCCTCCCGAGTCACCTTTTTCCTCTGAGAACCCAGGTGGCATCACCACCTCCTCTGTCTAGATGGACAAACAGGAAAGACCTGGGTCTCCTGAAGGGGTTCTTTCCTAAGCCGGCTGGCAAGCAGGACCTTGAGCACAGAATTAAGATGAAGAAGGGTGTTGGCCAGGCCGAGGAAAAAAGGCCTAGAAGGCATCTTCACCAGGAAACTCCTGGGCACCCCAGAACCTCATAGCCTTGCCACTGCCTTGCAGCCTGAGCCTTCTCAATGTGAACCGTACCTCAGGGATGACGGCTCGTGGCTGCTCCCATCCACGGCTTTTACCTGCACACCTTGCCAGCTGGGTTCCACGCGAGATCTCAGCCTGTGGCTGGACCTGGAAATCCAGCAAGGCCGGATTGGAACCTCACAGTTGGACCAAATGGAGGGCTCGAGCTGTCACCTGGGCCTGGACTTCAGTTTTTAATTTTATACAAGAGAACAGGGTTAATAAACATAGCCATGGGATCAGAACATTGACGAGGGTTTCTTGTTCCCCTTGGAGGAGGCAGCTTTTCTAAAAGCTAGGGTGTTGAGAAAATCTGCCCTCCCCTCAGCAAGGCCTTCTCATTGGCCCGTTCAGGGGGCAGCAGATTGGCTAGGGGTGGGTGAAAGCTCCGTCTTGCTGGAGCTCAGGTTCTGGTCCTGGGGATCCTGGGCTTTGCGGAGCTGCAGGCTCGGCTCCGGGAGGGGGTCGGTCTTGCTGGAGCTCAGGTTCTGGTCCTGGGGATCCTGGGCTTTGCGGAGCTGCAGGCTCGGCTCCGGGAGGGGGTCGGTCTTGCTGGAGCTTGATGTTGTGCTCTCACTGGAGCTTGAGGTGTCCTCAGAACTGCTGGGCCCTGGACTCTGGTCCTGGGTCTCACTGGAACTACTACTGCTTCCGCCATGGGAAACGGTCTCGCTGGAAGTCTTTGTTGACTTCTCGCTGTGGACCTGGGACCTGGGTTTCCAGCTCTGGGCACGAACAGCCTTGGCTCTTCTGAGCCTCTGCTTTGGGGTCAGGGCAGGCCTGTTCTTTCTAGGCTTTGGACCCATGGTGGCTTCTGTCACTCTGGATTTCTGGCTGGGGCGTTGTCTTCCTGGGCTTTGCATGGCTTCTGCCTTGCTGGAGTGGCATCTTTGGCCATAGGCAGGTGTGGTCTCACGCAAGTTCTGGTCTGGGTTCTCAGAGGCCTGGGTGACTTTGGGGGCCCTGCTCAGGCCTAGTTTCTCCCTGTTCTTCCTGGGGTCTGAGGACTGAGGCCTTGAGTGTTCAGACATCACAGCTGTGTTGGAAGTGCTCCTATACTCCTGACTGTCTGATATGTCCATTCCCGAGGTGCTCAGGCTCAGGACTGGCAAAGAGTGGAGAGCGGCTGTTAGGCCTGCCTGCCTTTCCAGACAGCTCTGGGAAAAGGGGCTTCCAGGCCACCTCCAGGTCATAGCTGGAGCCTCCCACTTCCTCCCTGTGCCTGGGCTGTGCACAGGGTGAGCAGCTGGTGCACACTGCTGACCCACCCAGCCGCTCTCCAGGCTCTCCCCAGCCCGGTTCTCCCACCAGACTCTGAACTCTGGCCCAGCAGTACCCTGCCCATCCCCAGCCCTGCTTATACATAGCTACCTCCTGCCCTTCCTTCAGCTCCTTGAGGTCTACCTTGAGCTCTTGAAAGGTCTAATCACACCCTTGCCCTCTGAGCTCCAGTCCCGTGTGCTTGGCTGGCTGTTCCCCTCGCTGACTTGGACAAGGACTGGGCCACTTAACCAGTTGTTAGGCACAAGCCTGTCTCCGGGCACTTGGAGTGGTTTGAGGATAACCAAGTGGAATAAAGGGGACTAATTCTACCACCCTGCACCATGGAGCAGTGGGGACACCCTTTTCACTGCTACCACCTCACACCAGGGCTTGTGGGGAGTGGCTTTCTTGCTTTGCCCTTTCATCCCCTCTTAGCTGGAGATAGGAAAATTGGGAGTCAAAACCTGTTGGGTATACATGAAGTGTGTGGCTCAGTTCAGGGACATACTAAGGAGCAGAGAGGAAAAGGGGCAGGTTTTGGAGGGAGAAGGGGGAAGTTGGCCTGAGGGTAACCGGTCCCTGCCCTGTGCCCATCCCACTGAGTCCTTACACTGCTGCTTCTAACTGAAGAGTCACCGTACAGGGTCAGAGCTGTCCAGGGCAGAACCCAAGCTTCAGCACTTGACCTCTGACCTCTCTGCTGCTTTGGTCTATTAGGCTGAGCAGGCGCTTCAAGGACTTACTGCTGAAGACTGAGCCCGAGGAGGTCTGGTCCACGTAGCTGTCTGACAGGGATATCACCATGCGGGGCTTCACCTATAGCAAGAGTCAAGCTGGGGAGCTACAGATGGGAGACCCTTGCTGCACCCACAGCTATGTGTCTGGAAGGTCACATGACAGTCCAGCCATCTCCCCCCCCCCCCATCCCCAAATAGGGTTTCTCTGTGTAGCCTTGGCCTTGAACTCAAGAGAGCTACCTACCTCTGCCTCCATATTGCTGGGATTAAAAGCATGTGCCACCACTACCCGGCTTATTTTCTGCTTTTGAAAATGTGTATGCACACCCTGTGGTGGTGGCACACACCTTTAATCCCAGCACTTGGGAGGCAGAGGCAGGTGGATCTCTGTGAGTTTGAGACCAGCCTGGTCATCAAGAGCTAGTTCCAGGACAGGCTCCAAAACCACAGAGAAACCCTGTCTAGGGCTGGCGGCGGGGGAGGGGGGGGATGCACAAGTGATTGTGTGTACACAAAAGTGCAGGTGCCCACAGAGGCCAGGAGAGGGCGTCAGATAACCTGGAGCTGGAGTTCCAGGCAGCTGTGAGCTGCCCACTGGGTGCTGGAACCCAACACTCAAGTCTTCTACAAAAGCAGTATTGACTTTTAACCATATCTCCAGCTCTTTTTTTCCACTCCAGCACTCTGTCTCCCTGGCTTAGAGTTCCTCACAGACTCTGGGATGGATGGGAGCACCCAGGGGCTAAGACTGCAGGCAGGGGAGAACATTGGTTCACATGGGCCTGGCTTCTGCAAACTGAGCCCTGCGGAGTGCGTGTTGGAGCTGAGGAGCCTCTATTTCTCACATTCCATTCTTCCATCCACCCAGGGGGGATGCTTCTACTACAACTATTTCTCTTTTCTTAACATTATTTAATGATTTATTTATTCTTATTTTATGTGCACTGGTGTTTTGCCTGCATGTATGTCTGTATGGAGGTATCAGATCCCCTGGAACAGGAGTTACAGACAGTTGTGAGCTGCTATGTGGGTGTTGGGAATTGAACCTGGCTCCTCTGGAAGAGCAGCCAGTGTTATTAGCCACTGAGCCATCTCTCCAGCCCCACGACTATTTCATAGTTGAGAGAACAGAGCTCTGAGCACATAAGCAGCCTGCTGCGGCCACGTATTGCTGCAGAGAAAGCAAGTTTTGTGTCTAGCAGGACCTGTGGCCTCCTCCACCCACAGGGGTCACCTGTTGGCCATCCCTTGCCCCTGGGGCTCTCCACTGTGCCCCTGTGAGCATTTCCCGCAGACGATGCCCACAATGACGAGTGGGTACATGGATCACATCTCTTCTCCCTATTTGGGGAACTAGGAAGGGCACTGGTGCCGCACTCACGACGGCTGCACAACGTCTTTGACTACAATACAGCTGTACTTGATATTTGTGGGCAGCAAAACTGGTTGATAGACCAAGTGAGCCATTCCTTAGGGGAGCTGTATAAAAGGAACCAGAGATAGGACAGCAGGCCATACTTATTCATTTAAAAAAAAAAAAAGGATTTAGGAATTGGAGTAGCCTTGTGCAGAAGTGCGGAGAGGCAGGGGCCTAGGAAGATGCATGCACAAAGGGCCTTCTGGGAGCTGAGAATGTGTTTGTTCACCTTGTGATGAGGCCATGGCAGACTAGCCTTTCATTTAAGACTTGTACACTTGGGCTGGAGAGATGGCTCAGAGGTTAAGAGCATTGCCTGCTCTTCCAAAGGTCCTGAGTTCAATTCCCAGCAACCACATGGTGGCTCAAAACCATCTGTAATGAGGTCTGGTGCCCTCTTCAGGCCTGCAGGCATACACACAGACAGAATATTGTTTACAAAATAAATAAATATTTAAAAAAAAAAGACTTGTACACTTGAAACTGGGTGTGATGGTTCATGCCTGTAGTCCCAGCACTTTGGAAGCTAAGGCAGGAGGATTGCTGAAGCCTAGCCTAAGCTACATAACGAGTTCTAGGCCAGCTGGGCTACATAGCAAGACACTGACTCTAAAACAGACTAGGAGCCAGGTGTGGAGGCACATACCTTTAGTCTTAGCTCTAGGGAGGCAGAGGTAGGCCAGTCTCTGTGAGTTTGAAGGCAGCTTTGTCTATATTAGTGAGTTCATGCTATCTAGGGCTATGTAGTGAGAGCCTGTCTTGCAAAGCAATAACAACAACAGGCAGGAAATGAGTGCTTGCTGTGTGCGTGTGAGCCCTGAGCAGAGCCCCCACACCTATGTGCAGTCTGGGGATGATGCTGTGTGCACTGGAGGGAGTGGAGATAGGAGGGTTTCTGAGGCTGTCTTATTCTCAGTAAGGTGAAACATGGTAGAGAAGGAAGGACACCTAACGTCCTCTGGCTGCCACGTGGGCATGTGTCCTGCACAGACAGCATAGTTATAACACAAGACACACACACTTTGTATACTTGTCTATACACACACACACACACTTTGTATACTTGTCTATACACACACACACACACACACTTTGTACACTTGTCTATGCTATATTCAATGAAAAGACTTTTTTTGTTTTTGTTTTTTTGAGACAGGGTTTCTCTGCAGCTTTGGAGCCTGTCCTGGAACTAGCTCTTGTAGACCAGGCTGGTCTCGAACTCACAGAGATCGGCCTGCCTCTACCTCCCGAGTGCTGGGATTAAAGGCGTGCGCCACCACTGCCCGGCTCAATGAAAAGACTTTATGAAAAACTGTAAGGAAAGCAAGGCACAAGTGGCCAGTGTCCCAAACAGAGCATGATCGTAACATTGTCTTACTATCAGAGAGGGGGGAGGTTCTTATATATACTGAAGGGGCAGAACAAACTCCATTTTGAGAAAGATCTCCATTTTAGACAGGACCTAACCTTACAGTCTGAGCTAGCTTGTAATCAATAAACCCCAGTGTATTTGCATCGAATACCGGCTCTGTAGTGTGACGCAGGCACATGAAGTTGCCTGTGCTCACAGGGCACACACAACTCAGCCCCTTATCACTCGAATTGCCTTTTGCACGGTAATCCAGCCTTCTTGAGTGAGTACCCAAGAATTTCTACAGTGAACCTAGCACCACTCCCTCTCCACCTGGCTCCTGCTTGCATCCACCATCTTTACGGGGGAGGCCCTCGGGCCAGAGCCACATCCTCAGCCCCATTGATGAAGTTCTAGAAGCAGTCCAGAGTAACCCCATAAAAAGCAAATCTGAGCCAGAGGTGTGGTGGTGCACGCGTTTAATTCCACCACTCAGGAGGCAGAGACAGGCAGATCTGTAAGTCTGAGGCCAACTTGGTCTACAGAGCAAGTGCCAGGACAGCCAGGGCTGCACAGAGAAACCTTGTGGGGTGGAGGGGTAGAGGGGAAGCAAGTCTGACCATCGCGACCACAGGGCACCCTTGCTGTGGCTCCCCATCTTAGGTGCGGTCAGCCACACTAGACTCCAGGGCATGGGCCCTAGCATAAGTTCCACTCACCTTTTTATCCTCTGCTCCTCTTCTCTTGAGTTTAGTCTTTCCTTTCAAGGTCGGAGGAGTAGCCAGTTCCTCTTCCAGGTTCCCCGTGAAAGTATATTCCCGATTCCACGACTCCATCAAGGCTCGGGCTTTCTGACGTTCCATTAACCTCTGCCTGTCAAGTCATGGTCCCAGCCCTGGATCAGTCTCTGGAATTTAGCCTGCTGTCCTCAGGGACCAGACAGTGCAGGCCTTATGAGGCAACTAGACCAGAGGAGTTGTGCGTCCCCACCTGCTCCCACGGCTAGCCAGAGGTCCCACAAGCTTACATCACAATGCTTTGTGGGTGGATGGCCTTCGGACCACTTTCTAGCATCCGACTTAGCTGGAGCTTGGCCAGTTGGGCCACTTGGCTCTTAAGCACGTCCTCCACAGTCATGCCAGGAAAGAGGTTGGTCATCAGTGGGGCCATCTGCCGGGGTGGCACAGTGAGCAGGGGGTTGGTGCTACCTTGCCCTCAAGGGACCAACAGGGAAGGCTTCTGCAAACTTTCTAGACTGGGGCCTTTTGCCCCCGAAGGAGCAGGTGATCCAGAGAAACAGACCGTTCTCTAATGGGGAGCAGGGCCTAACCTCGGAGCAGCTGGGCCTGTATTGAGTCTCCCTCTGTACCTGTGGGTGGATGGAGGGAGGGGATGCCAGCGGGCAGGAGGGCGAGAAGGAGTAGCAGCTCATTGTCACTGATTTCTTTTAACAGTGGCCAGGGTGTGAACCTTCCTGGCCCAGTAGGAGCCCACCTTTGGATAGTTGGGGTTTAGGAGCAGCACAGTGGCAACATCCTGGCGGGCCCCCAAAATGTTCTGCAGGAGCTGTCGGCTCTTGGCCCGGTGCAGGTAGTACTGGGCCTTCTCAGGGTTGTGCTTGATGGCTGTTGAGAAGTGGTCCTCCGCTGTCTGGAACTGCCTGAGGGACATGCCCAAGGCTGCCATGAGCTGGGCCACCCGTAAGAGATGGGCACCGAGGAGGTGGAAAAGTAAGGGCCTCTGCTCCCACCCATATAGTTCTCTCTCTCTCTCTCTCTCTCTCTCTCTCTCTCTCTCTCTCTCTCTCTCTCTCTCTCTCTTTGTGTGTGTGTGTGTGTGTGTGTGTGTGTGTGTGTGTGTGTGTGTGTAGCTTTGGGCCTCTCCTGGAACTAGCTTGTAGACCAGGCTGGCCTTGAACTGGGATTAAAGGCAGGCACCACCCCTGCCTAGCTTTGTTTTGTTTCTCAAGACAGGGTAAAACAGGGTGGCACTGTGTAGTCTTGGCTTTACTGGAATTTGAATGTAGACCAGGCAGCCCTAAACTCTCAGATGCACTTGTCTCTGCCTCTCTGCACTAGTATTAAATAAAGGTGTGGGTCACTATATCCAGTGCTAACAGTTTTCAAAGTGTGTATGGGTGTTTTGCCTGCATGTATGTTTGAGAACCATTTACACGCCTGATCACTTGGGACTGGGGTAACAGATGGCTGTGAGTTGCCATGTGGGTGCTGGAAATCAACCTAAGTCCTGGAGGAATCTAGAGGGAGGCTCATGGGCAGGTAGGCAGGCCTCTGAAATACATTCTAAGGCTGGTGGTGGTGGCACATGCCTTTAATCCCAGTATTCAGGAGACAGAGGTAGGAAGAGCTCTGTGAGTTCAAGGCTAGCCTGATCTACAGAGCTAATTTCAAGACAGCCAGGGCTACACAAAGAAACTGTCTCAAAACCAAACAAAAAAAAATCATTCTGAATGCCGGGCGATGGTGGCACACGCCTTTAATCCCAGCACTCAGGAGGTAGAGGCAGGCGGATCTCTGTGAGTTCGAGGCCAGCCTGGTCTACAGAGCTAGTGCCATGACAGGCTCCAAAGCCACAGAGAAACCCTGTCTCAAAAAAACAAAACAAAACAAAACAAAACAAAAAGTCATTCTGAATCATACATTATTTTTTTGAATCATACATTATTAAATATTTAATTTTTTCATTAAAAAGCTTAATTTCTGGGGGCTGGAGAGATGGCTCAGTGGTTAAGAGCACCGACTGCTCTTCCAGAGGTCCTGCGTTCAATTCCCAGCAGCCACATGGTGGCTCACAGCCATCTGTAGTGAGATCTGGTGCCCTCTTCTGGCATGCAAGCATACAGGGAAGGAATGTTGTATACATGATAGATAAATAAATAAATCTTAAAAAAAAGCTTAATTTCTAATATCATCAAATGAAACTATTTGTGGTGACGATGGGAATAAAACCTCTGTCCAGCAGACAACCAGCAGGTGGCTTCTGGTGACCGCTGCCTGCCACCCTCCCTGGCCACACCCCTCCCCACCCCCAGACACCTGCGTGTCTGCTCACAGAATCCCATCTTCTCCTGCAGCACACCCATGCGTAGGTTGGCTCCCTCGTCCTGCGGGCTCAGTGCCAGTGCCTGCTTGTAGTCCGCCTCCGCGAAGGCCAGGTTGCCCAGCTGGAAGAAGCAGTCTAGGACCCGAGAGCAAGGACTGAGTGCATCCCCAACTCCCAGAGCTAAACCAGGACCCAATCTGGCCACCTCGGACGTTCTCCGAGCTCACCCCCACGGTTGATGTACAGGCTCTTCTCGTTCTGCTCGTCCCTGATTGCCTTGTTCAGCAGCAGCACGCCCTCCTGATAGGAGCCCTGGGTGTAGCAGTGCACAGCAAAGTCGTTGTAGGTCAGCAGCAGCTGGCGCTGTGCCTTCTGCACCAGGCTGTCCTGGCTGTCGGTCACCATGTCCAGTGCCTTCAGGAAGTCTTCCACAGCTGGGTCAAATTGCTGGAGCCGTCTGTACATGGTCCCCCTATGGTGGTGGACATGGCAGGTAGCAGGACCAAAGCATCCCATGACTAGAAAGCCACTGCCCACCTTGGGCCTTCAATCCATGACCTTTGACTATAGCCATGAATTCTGCCTCAAGCCCCAGGCCTGATTTGGTGCTGGCCGAGTTGCTGCCAGGATAACCTATTAGTCACCGGCATCTTTTACTTCTTAAGCACAGTTTCCCATATTGGAAAGAGCTATCTGCAAGCCTCTATATTCAGGACAACTTTGTGGAGTCAGTTCTCTCCACCCACATTTATACAGGTCCTGGGACTTGAACTCAGGTCGACAGGCTTGTTCTGCAACCTACTCTACACACTGAGCCATCTCACGTGTCCTGTTCAGGCCTTTGTACACACACACTTTAGCCAAGTGTTTAGATGAGAAAAGACAGAATTAGGGAGATTGAATGGCACCAAATTCTTGAGGGACCAGATACAACCCCTAATCTCATGCCCTCTGAGCATGAACTACTCAGCAGGCCTGTCTGGGATACTGGGAGACCCCCTCGATGGTGCCAGGACCCGAGCTGAAGGCAGGTGAAGGTTCTTGGCACTAGAGAGAAACTGAAGCCTGGGGAGGGCCAGAGACTCTTTGGAGACCACACGACAGATTTGCAGGAGCAGCAGCCCCTCTCCACCCTGGTACCGGAAGAGGAAGAGGTTGGGGTCCAGGGGGTTGTTCTCAATGGCACAGCAGATATGCTTCAGTGCTCGGTGCAGCTTGCCCTGCACGGCCAGGATGCTAGCATCTTGAAAGGACTGCTTGGCCTGGTTCACCATCATCTGGAGTAGCCCTTTGGCCTGTGGGTGCTTGGGATCGAAGAGCAAGGCGCTTCGAAGGTCTTGATAGCAGAGCTTAGGCTGCAGGTGGAGGGGTGGCATGCTGGGGTGGTACTGTCCCAGTAGGGGGTAAAGAAGGGCAGGCCTCTAGGTGACAAGTTAGCACCACTCCATCCCTCCTGTGTCCCCTGCAGTATTGTTCTACATTTTTTCGCCTCGTGAACAAGGCACTGGGGGAAAATCCACCCCCAGCCTCAACATTAACAGCTCCTTTCCAGATGGGACCTCCTTGACCCCGGTCTGGGTACAGGCAGAGCACATCCCTAGGCAGACGCCTGCCTTCCTCTGCTGTGCAGGTTGGCCAGTCAGCTCCACATTCTTAGCAAGCACCCCATTCTCCTTTGGGTAACTGGCTGGAGGGGACACTGGGAGGACTGGGCAATGGTGGGAGGGAGTGGCTGATTGGGCTCGGGCTGGAGAGCTGGCTGTGTGGCCTTGCTCAATCATTCACCTTCCTCCAAGGGTTCCCAGTAGTCAACCAACCATAGCCGCACACAGGACACGAGTGGAGGCGTGAGTCAGCAATAAAGCGTGATGATGGATACACTCGTGTCTTTGAGTCACCACCAGCACACTGAAGCCCAGCCCCTGACCAGAGCCTGTCTGGGTAGCCTTACTCAGCCACGCTCCCTCCTTGCCAGGCCCCTCCTTCCTCTCTGGCCCTCCCCACCTTGTTGCCAACACCCAGCTCACCTGGAATGCTGCCCTGCTCCAAGCTCTTCCCTCCAGCTGCATCAGCACCACAGGGCCCTCTCCTTAGCCCTTCCCTCCTCTAGCACTCTGCCTCCTCCAGCTGACAGTTTCCCAGCAGGAGCCATCCCTTAGAGGTTCCCTGACCCAGGGGACACTCTCTCCCAGAAGACTGCAGGCCCCTCCTCTCTGCCTACGTTCTGTTCTTCTTAACCTGTGACCCAGCATCCCTTGTCCCCAAGCTGTCCCCTGTACTCTCTGTGCCCCTGCTGGGCCCAGCAGGGAGTCACGGAGCTTTACAACTTTCCGTTGTGCAAATAAGAAAAGAAAGCAGGATACCAGGCATAGTGACCCACGTCTTTAATCCTAGCAGAGGCAGAAGAATCTCTGAATTAGAGACCAGCCTGATCTACAGAGTGAGCTCCAAGACAGCATTGTCTCAGAAAAAAAAAAAATCGAAAGACCCTCCTCCTTACCCCTCCCCCAGAAAAAAGAAAGAACGAACAGAGAGCACAGAAGGAAGGCAGGAAGGCCTCTGCATCTCTAATGTCTACAGTGTCCTGGATGCCACACATCCGAGGGCTCAGTCAGTAGACGCTTCCTACACAGGCTTGAGGAGCACAGCTTGGATCCCCAGGACCCATGTCTCAGTCCAGAGCTCTGAAGACACAGGGATAGTGTGACATACTCATTCCCCACCCTTTTTGTGGTTACCATGGAGACTAGTACAGTCTGGCACAGAGCCAGGCCTGAGTGATGAAGGTACCTTAGCAGGCAGGGTCCCCAGGAATAAGACTTCCAGTTGGCCTTGCCTCCTCTATAATCTTTGAGCACACTGGGGGCCACACACCTGCCCTGCCCACTGTGCACTACCTTCTGGAAGAAGTTGTAGATCCGGGCCCGGAGGATGTAGACATCGGCATTGGCCCTGCCCTGCTTCACCTCCCTGGTGATGAGTGAGAGGCAGTCCTGATGTCGATTGAGGGCCAGCAGGCAGGCTATGCTGGGGGCGGAGGGCAGGGGTGCACTCAGCCTGGGACAGTAAGAGGCTGTGGGGAGGGGGGCCAGCGCGCCACACTCACCAGCGGTAATTAAAGGAAGGATTCTGGGGTTGGAGGTCAGAGGCTTGCAAGAAGACATACAAGGCTTCCTGGAAGTCACACAGCTCGTACAAGCACTGGCCCTGAGGAGACGGGCACTGTCAGTTCTGCTCCAGCTCTGGGGACTCCACTGCTGGCAGAGGAAGGCAGAGACCTGAACAGACTCCAAGAGACAAGGATGGAAAGAGATGCAGAGCTGAGCAGAGACAGAGCAGGACAGTGGGTGACAGCGGCAGAGACAGCGGGACAGTGGGTGACAGCGGCAGAGACAGCGGGACGGTGGGCGACAGCAGAGACAGCAGGACAGTGGGTGACAGCAGAGACAGCAGGACAGTGGGTGACAGCAGAGACAGCGGGACGGTGGGCGACAGCAGAGACAGCGGGACGGTGGGCGACAGCAGAGACAGCGGGACGGTGGGTGACAGCAGAGACAGCGGGACAGTGGGTGACAGCAGCGGGGCTTGCTCAGAGAGGCAAAGTGACTCCCTCCCCCCCAGCTCACACAGGAAGTGAGATGGCAGGACAGTTATCTGAGTGCCCAGAGGAGTCGCCCCTTCTCCTTCTCAGGTGTGTTTGTTTGGTTAGCTAGTGTTTCACGTGGGGTGTACACTGACCTTGAACTCAGAACAAGCTTCCTGCTGTGTCTGAAGTGCTGGGATGGCAAACCTGAGCCACCTTGTCTGGCCCAATGTCTCTTTTCTATTCTATTCTATTCTATTCTATTCTATTCTATTCTATTCTATCTATCTATCTATCTATCTATCTATCTATCTATCTATCTATTCTATCTATCTATTCTATCTACTTTTTTTTTTTGAGACAGGGTTTCTCTGTAGCTTTCTTCGAAGCCTGTCCTGGAACTAGCTCTGTAGACCAGGCTGGTCTCGAACTCACAGAGATCCGCCTGCCTCTGCCTCCAGAGTGCTGGGATTAAAGGCATGCCACCATCGCCTGGCACATCTATTTATTTTGTAGAAGAGGGCAGGCCCCTGTTGCAGCACACATGTGGAAGGCCTAGATAACTTGCAGGAGTCAGTTCTCTTACCATGTAGGTCTCAGATATCAAATTTGAGTTGTCAGGCTGAGAGGCAAGCACCCTTACCCGCTGAGCCCTCTCACTGGCCCCAAAGCTTCTTTGTAAGAACTGAATGATCTGGTGTCTTGTGGTATTAGGGCTCTAACTCAGGCCCCTGCTGTATCAGGCAAAAGGTCTACTACTGCTATACTCCAACTCAACTTCTACCCAATATCTGCCCTTCAAAAAAAAAAAAAAAAACAGACAATGCTGGGTGGTGGAGGTGCACACCTTTAATCCTAGTACTCAGGATGCAGAGGTGAATCTCTGTGAGTTCAAGGCCAGCTTGGCCTACAGAGCAAGTTCCAGGACAGTCAACATTACACAGAGAAAAACCTGTCTAAAAAAAAAAAGCCAAAAACAAAAAACAGATCTTGAGGGCTGAGGGTAGTAAGATGACTCACTGGGAAGATAACCTGAGTTTGATGCCCAGAGCCCACATGGGACAAAGAGACTACTGATTCAATAGTTGGATAAATAATTATAAATGTATAAATAAATGTTAAAGTAAATGTTGAGCAGTTAACCTTTTACTTGGTACTAGGATGGTGCCCAGGACCCCTGTATGCAAGGCGGTTGTCCTGGCTCTGAGCAACACCCCTACCGATGCACATAAATTGAATCTAAAATTGAGTTGTCATACTTGCCACATTTTGATAACTCAACATTTCCACGTGGCTGGTGGCCACCCTACTGGCCGGAGGGCAGGCCTATGGCTGGTGTGTGGTGTGCACTCCTCTGTGGGCGGGAGCTGCCTAGGCACCTGTAGGTAGAGTACAAAGGCCAGCCGCTCCAGGTATTTGCTGTTCTCTGGCTGGTAGGTGTAGGCCCTGCGCAGGTTCTGCAGGGCAGAGGAGAAATCGCAGAGCTGGATGAAGGCCTCGGCACGGAAAACATAGAAGTCTGCCTGAAAGCAGAGAGACCCAGGCTGCTGTGTCCTCTCCACCGTCTGCCCCTTGTCTTAAAACAATTTGCTGGGCGGTGGTGGCGCACGCCTTTAATCCTAGCGCGTGGGAGGCAGATGCTAGCAGATCTCTGTGAGGTTCAGCTGGTCTACAGAGCTAGTTCCAGGATAGGGTCCAAAGCTACACAGAGAAAGCCCATCTCGGGGGCGGGGAGGAGAATTTGAGGGGTCCAGGGAGGAAAGGTCTAGCAGGTTCCAGAGGCCGCGGTGACTCCCCCTCCTCTTACCATGTTGGGGTTCAGGTGGAGGGCGCGGGAGAAGAAGAGCACGGCGCTCTCCCAGTCCTCTTGTTCTAGGCACTGATGGCCTTGGTGATAGCTGTGAGGGCAGGACAGGACAGGAGGGTTCAGGCAGTGGGGCTGGCCTTGATCTTGGACCAGCCCAGGATATTCTCAGGGCTATGTGGGGCAGGTGGGAGGGAGGGTTGAGGTAAAGAGGCTGGAGAAGCAAGCAATGTTCCGGGGAGGGCAGGCTGGCCTTCTTGGAGCTCTTCCGGCTCTTTTTATCCTTTTATCCATTGGTGTTCACTGAGGCCCAGAAGGGCCAGCAGCCCAGCCCAGGGCTGTACTCCATGGTAATGGCTGTGTGAAGCAGGAACCTGGGGCTGGGGACCTGGAAGTCACTCACTACTCTCTGACTTTGACAGGTACTGTTGATCCTCCTGTCCTTGGTTTCCTATCAACGCTGTAGAACACCTGGCTTGTCCCAAAGATATGTTGCAGGGTCTTCTCTCGGTCTTCAGGAGCATGAACACGGAGCTTTGGAACTTTCTTCGAGTGGGCATGGTCGGGCACCTAGGAACGAATTGGGCAGGAAGCTTGGAAGGCCTCAGGAGGTACCTTACATCACCTCCACTCTTTTCCCAGGGACTTTGCCTGGTGGAGGAGGTGTGGGAACGGCCCCTGGGAGAAGGACACCCAGTCTGGGATTCAGCTGTGTTCCAGCATTTCTCTAGCCTTGCCTCTCTCGACCTCTCTTGTGGTCAAGCTCAGGGGGATGAGGGTCCTTGTAGCCCCTGCACCCGCACCCTCTGCTCTCTCCTTGTGCTGTATATAGTTGTCCATTATTCTCAGCGCCCCAGCTCAGACCCTGCTCCACATCTGGCCTTTAAGGTTCCTTGTAAATCCCCTGGGACTCTCACACCCTGCAGGCCACACTGAGCAAACACGTCCCCTGACCTCTCACTTCCGTGTGGTTTCCCTTCCCGTCATCACCAGAATCGGGGCTGGGTGGTGGTGGTGCACACCTGTAATACCATTGTAGGATGAAAAGGGCCAAGAGAACACACCCGGTCCCTGACCAGACCCTCAGTAGACCTGGGCCAAGGAAAAACATCCTGACCTGAACTTTACTCCAAAACCAGGGCTTGAAATCCTACCAATCGCTGAACATGAAATCCCACCAATCCCTGAGCTTGCCCCAGAACCAGGCTACAAAGATGCACCAATCCCAAGTCACCCTGGAAAGTTCTGCTCGCCCCCCAAGAAGCCTCATGGAAACTGTACCCTGTTCAGTTTTGCGGCTGCCCCTCATCCTAAAGCGAGCCACTTTCCTGGGTTTTCTCTCCCACTCTTGAGTGAGGTTTGTAGTGAGGGGTGCCATTTTTACCAGAGCGGAGCCCAGCTGTAACAGCTTTGGTCACAGTTGGAGCAGAATTGTAACATTTTCCCTGGGGAAACTTCCCCTGACTGAGCAGAGTTGTTACATGGGGTTGGGGGGCGGGGTGATACAGGACAGGACCGGCACACCTAAGCTAAACAGAGCTAGAATACTTGGCTGCCGCAGAATTGTAACCCTTTCACTGCGGAAACTTCATTCGGAACAGCTGTTACACTTGCACTGGGGAAACCTGGAGCACAGCTGTGAACTGGTATTCCTTGGCTCCCGACTCCCAGGATACTTTACCATCTGAGCTCCTACACTAACAACCCGAATCCAGAGGCAGGCAGATTTTTCTGAGTCTACATAATGAAACCCTGTCTATCAAAAACAAAACAAGCAGGGCGGTGGTGGCGCACGCCCTTTATCCCAGCATTCAGGAGGCAGAGGCAGGCGGATCTCTGAGTTAGAAAGCCAGTCTGGTCTACAGAGTGAGTTCCAGGGCAGCCAGGGCTACAAAGGGAAACCCTGTCTTGAAAATTCAAAACAACAATTAAAAACCTCTCCGTCCTCTCCTTTCGGAGTAGGCGGTCAGTCACCCTTCTCCCCTCCCACATTTCCCTGAAGGGCTTGACCGGCTTCACCCCAGCCCTCACCTGGCTGTGGTCAGTCATGACCGGTTTCCAGACTGACCTCGGGCTGAGCTAACTCCCTGGTTCCCTGTCTCCGCTGTTGCTAGGCACCTGCTCCAGGATGCCCAGAGGCTCCGCCCATTTAGCTACGCCTCGAGAGTCTGTAGAAAATTAGTTGGGCGGGCCAAGGCCTACGTCAAGGGAAGAACCAGCCGGCGCTCGAGCCAAAGGCTGAGCAAAGGCTCGGGGAGGTACAGGGTGACGCGACGACCAGGAACGCACGCAGAGGCCCTCCGTGGCCCTCGCCCCGCCCACTTCCGCCCCGCAGAACCATGGAGGCCGCCTAACTCGGCCCGGATTGGTCGTCGCTGGACAGGCGGCGATTCTATTGGCTTAGGGCTGCCTGACGTCAAGGGGCGGGGTCCTGGCTGTGAATTGGGGCGGCATGTTGCGGTCCGGCCTTTTTCGCTCCGGGATGCGGCGGAGTTGGGCTTTGAGACAGTGCGTTTCCGAGGCTCGGTTCCCCGGGAAGCGGTGGCTGGTGAGTGGGGCGTGGGTGACCCGGCTCCGATGCTGCCCCACTGTGTTCCTTGTCAGCCGCCCCCTTTTTTAACATTTAAAATTTCAGGTCACATTTATTTGTGCGTGCAAGTGCCCTATGGCTGTCAGAGGGCAACTTGGGAGTTGGGTCCCGGGGATCGAACCTAGGTTGTCAGGACAGCAAGTGCACTATCTTCTGAACCATCTTGCCGAACTTGTCAGTTTTTCTACTTAGTTAAATAGGTGACCGGCAGTATTGACTGACTCCAAACTTTTAGGAGTTCTGCCTCCACACCACGGGTGCAGCTCCCCCAGTTTTGTGGGGCCTCCAGGAGTTCCCAGGCCCTTAAACGCTCCTTCCCGACCCTGGCTCTCTTCTCTGTTTCCTGACCGCTGTTTAGGGCCCTATGTTAGATTATCCGATCTGTTTTCTATGGTGTTGCTTGCAGGTGGCTGGCCTGGGGAACCATGGAATGCCTGGCACACGGCACAGCGTAGGCATGGCAGTGCTGGGGCAAATAGCCCGGCGACTAGGAGTGGCGGAGAGCTGGGCTCGTGACTCTCGCTGCGCTGCTGACCTCGCCTTGGCCCCGTTTGGGGATGCCCAGTTGGTACTGCTCCGGCCACGGCGCCTCATGAATGTCAACGGGCGCAGCGTGGCCCAAGCTGGTGAGTTGTGGGCTTCATGGGTAAGAGGGCACAGGGAGCAGAGAGAGGTTTCAACTGTGACAAATGCCTGGTGAGCCCCGCTTACTACGTTGAGGACTTGGAAGCCTGTTTCTACGTGGGGGTCGTTATAGTCCCTCTGAGCAGATAGGCAATAACTAGGGTGTTTCCGTGTGCCAAGCGGAGCTGTTTGGACTGACTGCGGAGGAGATCTATCTGGTGCATGATGAACTTGACAAGCCCCTGGGAAAGCTGGCTCTGAAGCTAGGGGGCAGCGCAAGGTGAGGCACACCTGTGCTCAGGTTTGGGTAGGGATGCTGGCCTCTGTTGGGGTGGAGTAGGGTTGCTGAGCCTATCTCTGCTGGGGGCCTGGGCAAGGGAAGGGGGCTGCCTCAGCAAGTACTAACTGCTCCTCAAATCCCTCCAAGGGGCCACAATGGAGTCCGTTCCTGCATTAGCTGTCTGAACTCCAGTGTGAGTCTACCCCTCTGCCCTGCCCTGGGTGGGGTTGGCCAGCGTGGGCTCCCCAGTGTACGTCACCAAGGCCCCCTCATTCCTCTGGCACCCCACAGGCAATGCTGAGGCTTCGGGTAGGCATCGGGCGCCCCACACACCCTAGTATGGTACAAGCCCACGTCCTGGGCTGCTTCTCCCCTGAGGAGCAGGAGCTACTGTCCCCCTTGCTGGATCAGGCCACCGACCTGCTTCTGGACCACATCCGTGCTCGAAGCCAGGGGCCACCATCGAGCCTCTGAGACCAGTGGACATATCTGCCTGTTTGACTGCCTGCCGATGCCCCGAAGCCCAGACACAGCCACAGGACTGCCACGACACGTGTGGTACCCACTGTTTATATAACTTCTGGGTTGCCCCAGGTCACTTGCAGATTGATTGCCCCAGGTCACTTGCAGATTGAAAGAGGGACACTGGCCACCACAGTCTGTTTTTGCAGTGGCTTGGTCTCTCCGTGCGCTACTTACGGTGTAGGAAAGGCTTAGGAAGGGTCAACTTTCTGAATCTTTTGAGAGCGCCAGATGGATAGCTCTGTGAGATTAAAAGATGCTTGCTTGAAATCTGCAGTCTCCTGGGGGCCGGGGATTAAGCCCTTAACCCATTCCTTACCAATGGGGTGGGGACAGAAGGGTCTCGCAAACCCTTTCCCAGTGGTAGCATAGGTATGCCTTAGCCTGTTTTTATAGGTGGGGAGGATCAGCAAGGTCCCACCATGTCCCTGAAGCCACCCAGCATGGAAAAACTAGGGCCAGCTGTTAGCTTGCTGTCCCCCAGGGTCCCTGGCACTCCTCCTACCTCATTAGTGTTCTGTAACCGGCAGATCCCCATTCTGGTGACATATGAGAGCAACCTGAGGTCGTGAGGGTTGGGTGGGATGTGGACCCGACGAGGCACTAGCCCTAGATCCCCAGGCTTGTAGGTTGTGATGGCGGAGAGCTTCTGTAGCAGGGACGTGGCCGCCTTCTTGGATACCTGGGTGCTGAGTTGGCTGTGGGAAGGAACTTGGGGTTATCACCTCCATCTCCACAAGAGGAGGCTGAGAATCTGAGAGATTGGAGAGCCAGGGTCTGCTAAGTCCCTCACAGGGCTATCTGCTCACCTCTCTTTGGGTGGGCCTTGGGGCTGCTGGTCCTCATGGCAACCCACATTGAACTGTGCTTTTGAAAACACAGCTGAGCTGAGCAGAGCCAGCAATTGCTGCAGCATCTCCTTGCGCTGCAGTTGGAACACCACGTCAAAGTCACCGTCCTCAGCATCTGTTCGCATCTGTTGGTGTGATGTAAGATGGTTAAAGACCAGTGGCCCAGATACCCACCCTCCCAAGTGCTAGGATTAAGGGTGTGCACTGCCATGCCTGGCCTTGTTATTTTACTACCCTGAGTTGCTCAGGCTGGCCTTGAACTGAATTTGTAGCCCCAGTCAGGCCTTGAATTTGGAATTCTGCCTCAGCCTCCTCAGTATGATCAGACCCACCCCCACCCCCCCAGGCCGGGTTTCTCTTTGTCTCTTTGACTGTCAAGGACAGTCAAAGACCAGGCTGGCCTTGAACTCAGAGACCTGCCTGCCTCTGCCTCCAAGTGCTGGGATTAAAGTCCTGAACCACCACTGCCTGGTCAGAGCCAACTCTTGGATGGATCTTTGAGGTCCAGAATCAGAAAAAGAGTCAGTCCTTGAGTCTCTCAGGAAAGAGGCCCTCTAAGCTTAGCCCCCAGGCCAAATTTCTTGGGGTCAACTTCTGTCCTTGGTCCACTGGCCTCTTGGTGTCTCCTGCCGCTTGCTCACCTGTACAATGTCCTGTAGGAGCGAGGTGGCCTGGGCCAGGACTGTTTCCAGGCTGGCCCTAACCTTCTTTTCCTCAGTCAGCTTCTCTTGTAGCAGATTCACCTCCGCCCGCTGTTCCCTCAGCTGCTGTTCTAGCTGGTCCTTGTCACTCCTGGTCCAGGGCAAGAAAAAGCCCACAACTGGCCCCACCTGCCGGCAGTGGCCGGCACCACCTCTTCCCTGGGCCCTAAATCCGGTTTTCAGCTTGTCTGATAGGCCAAACCATGAGGCTATAAATGGGAATTCCCCGGCAGGCTTCCACCCAAGTCACCTCAGGGTCTGGTTGTCCTTCTGTAGCTGCTGGAAGTTCTGTTCCAGTTGGGACAGCAGGACGCGCAGCTGCTCTGCCTCCTCTGTGCCCTGCTTCTGCTGGCGGCACTTCTCCGTCAGCATGAGGATGACCTGCAGCAGTAGGCAGGTGTCTGGCCCTAGATCCCCGGGCTTGTAGGTTGTGATGGCCTCCCCTCCCTCCCTCCTGGAGATGCAGCAGGCCGGCACCACCTCTGGATAACAGAGTGGACTCCACTCAGTTATAGGGGGTATAAGGCAGACTCCAGAGCTAGGGCCAGCATCCTCACAAGGAAAGCCTGAGCCCTTGCTGCAAACCCTCCCCACTTCATGACTTGGCTCTGGCATGGGGTCCACCCTATCATATGCGGGCATGGTGGTCATACCTTCTGATGGCCTTTGCTGTTTCTGGCCATGATCTCTTGGGTGTTCTCCAGCAGCTCCACCTGGTGGTACAGTTTATCCTTGATGCTCCTGAGCTGCTCATTCTCCTGAAGCAGCTGCATACCTTGTTGGGTCACCCAGGACAGCTGCAGAGTCACACTGTTGTTCTCTAGGATGGCCCGCCTGGTCGTCTCCCACATCTGGTTGGTGGCCACTTTGCGGAACTCAGTGGCCACCAGGTTTACACGTTGGATGATCTCTTTCCTTAGCCTGACCGGGAGGGTGGGATTGGAAGGAAGAGTCAAGCAGATGGGTATACGTCTTGTTACCCCCTTTCTGGGTGAGAATCTAAAAAGTACCCAGGCATAGCCGGGTGTGGTAGTGCACACCTTTAATCCCAGCACTTAGGAAGCAGAGGCAGGTGGATCTCTGAGTTTCAGGATAGCCAAAGACATGCAGAGAAACGCTGTCTTTTCCTCAGGGAATCTCTGGGCCTTTGGATTTGAACCATTGAAACACACTTATTAAATAAAGGCAAGGAAAGAAACACGTGGCCAAGACTGCTCAGGGCTGGGGCCGGGAACTGGCTGGAAGCTCTTTCTTCCTCCTCTATAAATCCCGGTCAGGGTTTTGGGGACAATCTGGGGAGTGTGTGATGACCTAGAGAGTGTGAGAGCTGGAGACTGCTGTGTGGACCCCAGCAGGTCCCCAGCCTGCCCACCTGTCCTTGTCCAGCACAGACTTCTTCTCCAGGTTGTACACATAGTCCTTGTATTCGCTCTCCTGCTTCCGCAGCTGCTCCTCTAGCACCAGGTACTTGTCTGTTAGCTCCTCTTTCTGCAGCCGAAATTCTTCCAGGGCAGCCAGCTTTCCCCCTACCCATCAAGGGCCACAGGCTGGTGAGGAGCAGCGTCTGAGCACCATAAGTTACACCCTCCGAGGTCTCAACTTTGTGTCTTCCTGCCTACCCCTCCCTCCACCGTGCTTTCTGTTCCAACAGGACTAGGTTGCATGCACGAAGCGGGCCCTGCACACACACAAGCCTTGTTCAGCCCATCTCAAGATACCTCCCCACAGGAGAGTCATGTGGGCATGTAACCGCTGCAGCTGAACATGGGCAGACAAGTCTCAGTGCCCCCTTCCCGATGGGTGGCATAGGCAAGACCCTCCATCTTTTTGAAGCGCTTCCTCATCTACAGACTGAGGAAGGGACATTTCTGGCCTTGAGAATGCATGGACAGTTAAGGCTGATAGTGTTTGAAGTAGCTGTAAGCTGTTATCCCCAATCCCCAGGTGAGGCCTCGTCTCAGTGACAGCTGTGACTTTGGGCCTTGCAACCCTCAGTGGCCAATTCACACAGGTGTGCTGGCTGGTCCCCTCACCAAGGGCGATGTTCTCTGTGGTGAGCTGGTCCTTGGTCTCCTGGAATTCGTGGCGCACCTGGGCCAGCTGTGCCTCGAAAGCATCCTTCTCCATCTCCTTTGCCAGCTGGAGACTCTGCAGCTGGTCATTGAGTTCCGTGATCTCATCCACCCTCTGGTTGAGCGTGCGCTTGAGGAAGGCCACGATCTCTTTCTTGTTATTGGCCAGCTGCTCGAACTCCTGGCGGAAGATCTTCTCCTGCACAGCCAGCTCATCCCACTTCCGCTGATACCTGGGGTGGGGTGGAGATGCGGGGTCAGGCCTTGCTAGTCCTGGTCACAGGCACCATCGAACCTGCTCTTCCAGACCCTCATTTCCATCAAGGGCCGTTTGGAGTTTCTCTTTGCAGGGTCTGAGAGCAGCCTCATGCCTGGAGGCCTTAACCTTAGGCTGTGCGAGCGAGCATGCGTGCCTACGGACACATGCATGTGCACAGAAACCCTTGGTCGATATTGAGTGTCTCTTTGATAGCCCTCCACCTTTAGTTTCTGAGGCCGAGACTCACTCAGTCTAGAGTGTAACAGTTTGACTAGGCTGGCGAGCCGGTGAGCTCCAGAGAGCCACCACCAGTCCTCTCCCATCAGAAGTAGGGTTTAAGGGACTCTGCCATGCCTGGCTTTTTTTCAAGGCTTCTGGGGGCCCGGACTCTAGTTCTGCTTGTCAGGACTTTACTGCATCATCTCCCCAACCAGCATTTTATATTTATTACCTCACTCAATTTTCTTTTTCTATTTTTCTTTTTTTTTTTTAGACTATATAGTTCTGGCTGTCCTGGAACTCACCATGTAGACCAGCTTGGCCTCGAGATCTGCCTGCCTTTGCCTCCTGAGTGCTGGGATTAAAGGTGTGCGCCACTGCTCCTGGTTACCTCACTTGAATGTAAGTCTTGTGGGGACTAAGCCTGCCCTCTGCTCACAGTGGTAACGGATGTTCCCACCTGTGTCTGGTTCACAGGAAGTTTGCATTTGTCCCCAGCAACACAGACTAGGAAACTGCGGCCCAGAGATGAAGAAACCAGAAAGCGACGAGACTAGAACTTTAGCCCAAGCCAATCTGACCTGGAAGTTAAGGCTTTTACCCATAATGCCTGTCCCTGTAATCAGCCCATTCAAGCTGGCTAAGCCCTTCTGCATTTGACATCCCTGCCCCTCTATCTCAGGACCTAACAGCTTGGCAGATACTAAGCACCGAATAACTTTTTCCTGATACAGTTCCATCTGTTGTGTTAGATCAAGTGACATTTGTACATTTTAAGAATACCGTGTTTACTGGTTTCAGTGGGAGAATTAAAGTATTTGGAGAGTTGTTTGATTCCTAAGTGTTTTAAGTATTCCTAAGTCTTCTGAATGAATTCTGTGTACAAGGTGTTTTTAGGGTATGGGTGCCTGTGTGGGGAGAAAACTCAGCCTCCCCAGGAGTCAGAGAGGCCAGGGCTGTCACCCTGCTTTCTCCTCTTCCTGGGGTGACTCTGAGCCTCAGGATCTGGCTGTGCTCTCTACTGGGACTGAAAGGAAACAGGGAGACAGCAGAGGGCTTCCCGAGTGCACAGACTCAGTACCAGCTGAGATTTTTCTGCAGCATCAATCATGAACAGCTTGGCCTTCTTGTATTTTCCCTATATGTTTATTTACTACAGATGTGTGGTATTCATGCATATATGCATATTCACGTGTGTGTGTGTGTGTGTGTGTGTGTGTGTGTGTGTGTGTATGGAGGTCAGAGGTTGACATTTGCTGAGATCCCCAATGACATATAAGGATGCAGATGCTGTGATAATTATACCCACTTTATAGATAAGGAAAGTGAAGCTCTCCTCTTTATATATTGAAGCTGGGTCTTCTACTTGAACCCAGAACTCAGTTCACAGTCTAGCTGGTTCGTTCCTAGGGGACCCTTTATCTCTGCCTCCCAGGGACTGGGATTATACCTACTCATTTGTATGGGTGCTGAGGATTCAAATTCCAGCCTTCACATTTGAATGGCAGGCAGGTGCTTTAGCCATCTCCCCAGCCACCTACATTTCTTTCTAAGTGGGAGTGTGACTCTGGCACTGGAGCAGGAGTTTCATAGTCAGCAAGGTAGCTTTTTCTGGGGTGGGGAGGGGCGTTCAAGACAGGGTTTCTCTGTGTAGTCCTGGCTGTCCTAGAACTTACTCTGTAGACCAGGCTGGTTTTGAACTCAGAGATCTGCCTCTGCCTCCTGAGTGCTAGGATTAAAGGTGTGCACCACCACCGCCCAGCCAGAATCCCCTTTAGTTCCCATTTAGGGCCCTTTAGTGGTTCACAGTTATAACCTCAACTAAGGCTAAGGCAGGCAGATTAACATGAGTTCAAGGCTACCCTGGGCTATAGAGTAAGACCCTGTCTATAAAACAAAGCAAATAAGCATAGGGAAACAGCCCCAGCCTAGAGAAACAAACACTGGATCTTGGCATAAAGAGGAAATGAGTGACCTCCTTGGCCACCAGGGGGAGCCATTTCTAATTTATTCCACTAATTAAACTACAAATGCTTAAGATCCTTTCTGAACCGGTCCTTGGGAGGCAAAGGTAGACAGATCTCGTTGAGTTCGAGGCCAGCCCAGTCTACAGAGCAAGTGTCAAAACAGCCACGGCTTCACAGAGAAACCCTGTCTCAAAAAAGCAAAAGCCAATCAAACAAAAAGTTCCCATCCTGCTGAGGTAGGGGCTGAGGGGGTTACCTGGGACGGAGACACTAATTAACGTGTACAAGCTCTGGAGCTGAGAAGGGGTGGGGAGATCTGTTCACCTTCTACGGTGGTACCTGTTCACTTGAGGCCAGAACCCAGCTCTAAGGCCCCGTCTGAGCCTGTGTGGGCTTCTGGCCTGGCACACTAGCATCCCTGCCACCCACCCACCGGGCCAGCCGGTCCTCCAGGTCTTGGATCTGTTTGTGGTAGAATTCCTTCAGCTCCTCCACCAGGGTGGACTCCCCAGACTTGACGCCCGCACTTGTGTCCTTCTTGCCCCCTTTCCTCTTCTTGCCCTCAAACTCTTTGCCGCCGCCTTTGTTCGGCTTCTTTTTAGGAGCCATGGCCGATGGCAACCACTGTTTCCAAGTCCCCTTTAAGAAGCCAGGTGGTTGCTAAGGAAGTTGGATCTATACATAGCAACAGCCTAACGGAGGGAGACTGGGTTTTAAAGGGGCACTGTCCTCTTGTGGACAGGGACCCTGTATCTGTTCAGGGCCTAGCCTTTCAGAGCAGGGTGCCAGGCTCGTGGGTACAAGTTTGTTTTCCATGAAGACCTTTCCTTCCCCTAAATGGAAACAATGTGGTATATTGATTACAGTCATCAAGAGCCCTAGAAATCACTAGCCTGTCACTTTGAGACTTTGGGTAATCAGAAGTTGGAGGTCTAGCCAGGTGGAACCTCTTCATAGACTCTCAGCAAGGATGAGAAGACTCAATCACTGGGCCCTGTGCTCGGAAGCGCCTCCCCTAGACCATCCTGCCAATCCTTTAGTGGCACAGACACAAGGCATCTTCTAGTGGAGGCTCCAAGGCTTCATGAAGTCTTGGGATATCCTTAAAGCTTAGTGGCAGGGTGCATCTGTTCGCTGCTACCCCAGGCAGATGAAGTTCCTTCTGTAGCTTTGGTCTTGGCTGTGCCGTGATAGGGAGGGAAAGCCCCTGGAGTCGAGGAGACAGCATGCAAGCATGGGACTGGGGACAGTAGGTATCCAGCTAGCAGATGCCCTGCTGGCCCCTCGGGTCTCTGTCCTTTCAGCACGGAGCCATCTTATCAGTCACATTGGGCTCTTTTCAGTTTGTGTTTGTCTGCTCTTTAGTCCCCAGGCACGTCTGGGGCCCGTCATCTTCAGTGATGACTGAGACTTAGTGGGTTCACTATGAGGGGGGCTCAACTTTGGGGATGTTGCAGGAGGGACCATCCATCATAAGCAGAGGACTAGAGGGGATTCCACTCAGCCACGGTCATTCTGTGAGTGAACTCCTGGTGTTACACAGCTGGGCACCTGGAAGTTGAGCAGCCACAACTCATGGCCTGGGTTCCGGGGTTACTGGGCTGGTGGCTCGTGCTTTGGCTTGCTGCAGTGTTGAAGATACACTCCAGCTTTTGGAGGAGTGACAGAGGCTCCCTCTGAGCCCTGGGATGCTGGAGACTAGGGTTGCGGCAGGACACAGCCTGGTGGGATCAGGGTGGAGAGGAATGAAAAAAAGCCTGGGCCAAGGGAAGTCAGGGGGAAAAAACCAAAACAGAAAACACAAGAGAGTAGCCAAGTGTGGACATGCACACCTGTGATCTTAGCGGCTTGAGGGGTGAAGGCAGGGAGAACACAAGTTCAAGGTCAGCCTGGGCTGAGTTGCCAGGCTCTGTCTCAAAATAAGAAAACATGGGCCAGCAATTTGCTCGGTAAAGCATATATGAGCTTTCTGTGCCCAGAACCCCGGTGGAGGAAAAGGGACTCCTTGAAGGGGCTCTCTGAGCGCCTCCTGCACGCCAGTGCACATGCACACGACATGAGAACAGCGGCCCTGAAATCCAGCAGAAAGAGGCTAAAGAGCCATTCCCATTGTGTGGGGGACAGGTGACCAGGGGAGAAGGAATAAACGGTATTTACTCTGCTGCTACAGTTACTCGGTGTAGAGTTCAAGTCCTTTGATCTTATTCAAGGCACTCTGCTGTCAGGACATGCTGGCTGGCTGAAGTCTTCCAGGAGCGAACATTGTGAAACACTGTATCCCCCAAGCTTCAGCTTCCTCACCTGTGAAGCAGCAGGGACCAAGGACCCAGCTAAAACATGCCTAGGAGAGGCCTGGCATGATTGCGGCGCTGTCTTCATCACTGCCTGCAAGGCGAGTCTTGCTGGAGCTGGTGGGATGTGCCGTGGACTGTCCTCCAAGCCAAACTGCCTCCATTTCAGGCCTGCTTGCAAAGATCATTTTAGCTGAGCTCATTGACTGTTGACCTTCCCTCACAGGAGGAGATGGGGGTAACTGGACCCACTTGTGCCGCCAGCCAACCCCCCCCCCCCCCGCCCCCAGCAGCTGTACGCAATTCTGCCCTAACTGCACGTGGCCCTCAGGATCTTGGGAAGGGGCTAGCATAGATAGGCCGAGGAAGACTAGGCAGGGGGCTCCATCTCTGTAGCCTTGGAGGTCATCCATCTCATTTCCGGTGAGGCTGCTTTGGGTTTCCCCACGCTCCCGTTTGTGACCTTGGACTCAGGCTCTGCGAGTATGCCCAACAAACTCCCTGGTTCCCCGGGGATGGGGGACCTTTGGTAGAATCAAACTTGGGTTTGTCATTGGGACCTTAGAGACGTGGGTAGTTGTTGCCTAGTCTGCTCCCCTACCTCCACCACCCTGGGCAAAAATACTTGGTACATATGCAAGATCTACAAAGTAGCCTTGAGTTGATACATTCCTCCTTGCAGTGAAGGTATCATTTTCTGTTACCCAGGCAAGATAATGTATACAGGGGTTTATGTAGTTGACTTAAAAAGATTTATTTTTGTGTAATTGGATATTGTGCCTGCATGTCTATGCGCAGTGCTGACGGATGCCAGAAGAGGGATCAGATCCCTGGGAACTGGAGTTACAGGAAGTGTTGACTCACCCTGTGGGTGCTGGGACTCCAGCTCTCTGAATAATGAATGAGTGTTCCTAACTATGGGGCTGTCTTTCTAACCGTGGGGCCGGCTTCCGGCACTAATTAGCTGCCTTTCACTGTGTTTGTGGTGCTGGGAAGAAGCCTCACACACCAGGCTAATGTTCTGGCTGGCTTCAGATACGACTTTCAAGTTCTTATCTTTCAGTCTTTAAAGAGGGTCTCACTAAGGCTGACTTTGACCTTGCTCTGTAGTCTAGGCAGCCCTAGAATAAAAATTTCTTCTCTCTCAGCTTCTTAAACAGTAGGGGTGGTAAGCCTGTGCCCCTAGGGCTGGCACAGTCAGCTGCTGATGGAGGTCCAGGTCCTTGCCCCTGGGATGGTAGCCTGTGCCCTGGGGCACAGTCAGCTGCTGATGGAGGTCCAGGGCCTCGCACTTGATGGCTGATGCCTGGAGGTGTGAGCAGGGTCCGCTGAGAGACTCGGCGGAGGCAGGAAGAGGCCGGGCTTGACTACAGAACAGCCCTCTGGCAAGAACCCAGTACCCTCAGCAACCCAGTCATTTCCCTCCATCTTTGCCAGGACTGCCACCTGAGAGCCAAGCTCCCAGCACATGAATGTCTAGGGACAAGCCATATCCATACCTCAGCAGAGAGCATTTAATGAGCCCCATGACTCTGTGCCCCAGTCCTTGGTTTATGGGTAATGTTAACCTGGTGTCTACTCCCCTCTGGGCCAGCCTCATAGCAGACTCCCCAGGTCACAGGACACCCAGCTTCCAAACTGGAGGAAGCACTTTCTACATGTGGGTGGGGGGCGGGGGCAGTGACATCAATGGAGGGACATGTCAGTGCTCTAAATGCACTGGGACTTCCACTCAAGTTGGGACCGGGTCCTGCAGTGTCTAATCTGAGACAGAGGCGTTCTAGAAAGGAACAGGTTGAAGAGCAACTCCCCTCACGTCTAGGCAGGCCTTATTTATTTTTACTTGTTCATTTGAGACAGTATCTCACTGTTGCCTTGGCCGGACCTGACCTGGAACTCTGTAGATCTGGAACTTATGTACATCTGGCTGGCTGAACTCAAGAGATCCCCCCTGCCTCTGGCTCCCAAGTGCTGGGACTAAAGGTGACTGTTACTATGCCAACGGAGGCAACATTGCCTTCCTGCCTGAGGCTAGATACACGTGTTGTCCCCAACGGGGAGGCAGGTACGATGTGCTGTGACGCAAGTCACAATCCCCTGGATCCAGCGGACCCCCCCCAAACCACAGCTGTGGGGTGGCCGGCCTCTGTTCTCCCCAAGGTAAAACTGTAAAACCAGCTTCAGGCGGCCCGGGCACCATGGTGAGCGCTGATGTCTTTATTAACTCAAATGCTGCGGTACAGGACGGTACAGAGTGGTACACTGCTGCGCTTCCATACTCTAAACACTGAGATTCGAGAGTTTCAAGTTAACAAGTTTCAAGACAGACTAGCTTTTTTTTAAATATCCTTTTGAGAAATTATTTATATAAATAACATAAAGGAAACCCCACGTTTGACAAACAAGGTCCTGAAGCATGAGCATTGCTTGACGGGGGGGGGGGGGGGGGGGGGGGGGGGGGGGNGGGGGGGGGGGGGGGGGGGGGGGGGGGGGGGGGGGGGGGGGGGGGGGACGGAGAAGCGGCTCCAGGAGAAATCAACCAGTGCTTAGGGTTGGTCCTAAGGAAGGTCACTGGAGGGAGAAGGGTGGGGCCGAACTCATGAGAGGGAGAGAGCACAGGTCACCACATCTGCCAAGACAGCACGAGACACAGTAATACACACAAGTCTGCGGGAGGGGCTGGGCTGGGACGTTTTTGTGACTTCCACTGCCTGTGTTTCACAACTGCAGCAGCACAGCGAGAGGCGCTCAGCGAGCTGCTGCGTCCTGAGGATGAAAACCATCCTTCCAGCATCTGCTTCTGCAATTTCTGCTTTATAGCTAGCTAGGTTTTATACAGCGATGATTTCAATATAAAGAATAAAATGATCATTTTTCTCATACAACCACAATGACATATGACTGTACATTACACAAAATTATGATGGATGAGCTATCTTAAACTCAGGATACTCTGACTGGTGTCACTTGCAGAGTGGAGACACCATCAGTGGTGCCCCCATTCCTCAGGCCTACCTACAATCCTTCTCTAGCAAAGCACCCTTTGATCAGAGTACCACATCCACATCTTCCAGTCCATTCCTGACCCTTGACCTCTATCCAGGCTGACCCCATTCAAGTGAAGCCTGAGGAAAGAAGGCGGCTGGTTGTGCCTAACTCCTCTCTTGAGGAACTGAGGGTACAAGGCATGCTGAGCTAGGTTGGAGGACTTAACTCAGGGTACAGCACTGTGGACACAGGTCAGGGGAGTAGTGCCAGGCTCTGGCAACAACACTGGCTGGCACCCAGACTGGCTTCCTGTGGACATCCTAAGTCCCCCTCCCCCCAGCTGCAACACCAGGCAAAGAGGCCTGTTTCATGCTGGCCTCTGGAGGTGTCTGCTCACCGCCATTTCCAGCCTCTGTGCCTGAGAACAGGCGGTGAGCAGGGACTGGGGAGAGAAATGTGGACCACGCGGGGCACAGACACCTTACAATTCCCATCAAGAACAGAAATGCGCCCAAACAGGCTGTGAGAAACACCCACACATCTACCTTTCTAAACTCAAGCAATGTGCGCACAGGGCATAGGGCTATATACAGTCATGGGGTCATAAATAAGGAGAGAGTCCACTCGGTCTAGAGTCCTGATGCTTCTGCAGTGTGGCGATCGCATGGGAACGTCTTGTGGGATACGTACAGAAGATACTCATTTTTAAAAAACAACACATTACTCTCTTGCTTTTCAAAGGACAAGATAGAATGTCTTCGCACAGGAGAACTCAGCGTGGCAACGGGGTGGCCAGGGCGTGCAGGGCTGGGGAGGCAGCAGAGCAAACGAGGCGTCGCGCTGGGGAGCTGCAGGGCACTGTGGGAAGGGAGCCAGGATTTGAGGGGCAGCTTATGTTTTTAACTGCTTATTTCTTCATCTGTTTTATTCAGCTTCTTCAGCGTGTCCAGGAGTTTCTGTGGGGTGAGAATGTGCGTGGATCCTGGGAAGGCAGAGAAGACAGTAAGCCCACTCACCTACTGCAGCCTGGAGACTTCTTTCCCCGATTCTCCATCCCCCAACCCTCGTCTGGGTTCAGTGGAAGGTGGGAGGGGGTGGGATGGAACCCATGGGCCCTGTCAGAAAAGACTTAAGAGGCATTTAGGCTCAGCTGGGTCCCAGGCTGAACCTAGGAACCACCTCTCGATCAGAGCCCAGCGCCAGCTGCCAGGTGATGGGCAGCTGTGTTTTCTATATTATCTCTTGAAGTCAAGATGAAGCCAGGAAGAGAAATTTCAAATATGGCAAGGGACAGTGGCTAAGGGCAGAGGCTGGTAGGCGTCTCTGGGTGGAGAGAATGGTGCCTGTTGGGCATGGGGACCCACTGAAGTCTGGGAGGCACAGTGGGGACCTCAGGTGTGAGAGGGAAAGGGCGGGGACCTGAGGCCTTACCTTGTGGAGACCTGCATTGTAAGAGATTAAAAATGCTTGCAAAAGTTTAAGCTAATGGAATCAGATATACTTCTAGAGCAAAGATTTAAAAAAAAAAAACAACAAAAAAAAACATTTAAAAATGAAGGCCTTTTCATAGAGATGTAGGCGCACTAGAATGATGCATGGGCTGAGTGGTTTGGACATGGGCTTAAACAGAATGGAGGTGATGGTGGTGTGAGCATGAGGCGTGCATGCACGCAGCAGTGGGTGCAAAGCAGGGTCCTGGTGGGACAGGAGAACTAAACAAAAGATCCAGTCTTGAAAATGTGCCTCCCTGGGGACCTGGAAGCAATAGGCTCTGTGGGAGTGGGGCGCTGAGACCCTCCAGACATCCATTCCAAGGACAGGCACATGGGGGGGGGGTGGTGCCTG